AACCGTAAAAGAGGATATCTGGGTATACAGCAGACTAAACTATTATATTTTTTATGACATACTCTCCTCGTTTGATTTAGCACTAAAGTAAAATCACGAACTACCGACTTAAGTCAAAAAGTCACTGGTATATAGCTTGGATCTTTTGGTCGCGTGTATTAATAAAATGTCACAGATTAAGTTCTTTGTGATCAAGGGTCATAACTATCGGAAATTGTTAAAAATCAATAGGCTTCGTCGTCCCAGGACCATAAACACTGTGTAGGAATTTAAAGTCAATCGGTTATTAACTGTCTGTAGAGCTTCCACAAGATTTTTCTAGGTGATCAAGGTCATAACTCTAGCAGTAATTATCGGAAAATGTTGAAATTCCATAGGCATCTGCATATCATGACCTTAAACACTGTGTATGAATTTGAAGTCATTCGGATATTAGTTTGGACAACGGAAGGATGGACGGACCGGGCTGACGGACAGGGGTCACGACAATATATGACTAAATTTCAATGTGGGCTTATTAAACTGTTTTAAGCAAAGCCGTTTACAAAGACATATGCAAAACTATGAGTTGAGTGAACTGGCCATCCCAGTTACCAGTGGTATCAGGTGATCATAATAGAGTATGAATAGATTAGCTCCTAACCAGAAACGGTCAGTGTCCAAAGAGACAATAATATGTCTCAACTTAGTTTATGAAAGTATACACAATCTGAAATGAAATCAGGTGTAACGTCTACGGTTACCGGGCTAATGAAGGTCGTCATACGCCATGCACTGTGCTATAGTGGAATGTTTGCCCGGGTACGGATGTATTCGCCTACTCATGATTGTATTACAGGGTTCTTTGACGTGCATGTCAACTTATATACAGGATCGAAAGATGTTCCTTGTCAGGTCCCCCTTCCTGTACTACTGATAAGGGGAAATCCGGTAGACAAATCCAGAGAAATTTTCTTGGCAAACACAGGGGTCAAAGCCGGGACCCGGGACTTCCTATATATTTAGCGCGTTACTTAGTGGGCCCCTTTACATTTAGTCGTCTGTTGTAAAAAGCTGAGTAGATACCTACCCATACTTTAAATATGACCGTATCGTGAGTGTAACATTACGAACGTTTCGTAGAGGTCACATAATTAGAGAGTATAAGATATTTCTTAAACCCAACGATTTTCTCACGTTGACAATGGACCACAGACCAGGGAATCAGGAGCCCATGTCCTCCCTCAAAAACATAAAATAATAACTTTACGGGTTTCATGGGGCCCGGTCGCTTTTTATCTTCGACGAGTGTAAGAGTGTCTACTCCAAACATTTATACAACCAACCTTAATTAAAACTCTATAATAATAACATTTAGGTTGTAGTTAAATTGTTCCCTTAGACTCATGGTGAGTGGTCCTTAATCTCTTTTATATAAACCTACAGAACCATGCTTTTCATTCTATAAATTATATACCGCATGAAGATATTCTAGAAACTTGAAAGGATTTCGTACAAAGCGTAGTTCTAGTACCACAACAAACAAATATTGTACCTAAACAATACATAACTGACCACGCTATGGGTCAGCTTCACTCAGACCAGTACACAAGACTGACCTCTGCTCCTCACCCGAGAGATTAAACAATGATATTTGTAGACATGACCGAATGACCTAGACTGTTGTTTAAAATGGTCAGGTCAGTGGTGCATTCCTTTGACCAGTATCCAGTGCTGTCACCAGGTACAAGACGATACTTGTTACCGCGCTTTCGTTCTACCTGGCCTCTACTATGGGGGATAAAAGGCGCCGAAATATGTCATGTAACCCCAGATAGCTATAGAGGGCATATCGTTATGACAAGATTAATTTCAAAATCAGTTGGATCACAGATATCTGCTTGGATGACCCTTGCGTAGACCCAGACTTCATTTTTAGTATAATTAAAATGAATATTAGAGTGCATTATATTGCCATAATGTCGTCAAATGGAATTACAATTACACGTCTGGCCACCACAGTAACTGTGATCACTCGACTTTATCTGTGAAATTAAAAACTTGGTCAATTTTTCTTTGAGAGACCAATTTCTTGGATTGTTTGATATTTGATAGCAGTACTATTCATCTAAGGCCCACATATTTAAACTATGTCTCCTCTTTTCACAACTCTGCGAATATTTATATAAATGTCAAATTATTTGAAAGACTGGTGCAGCTACGTGGGTAAGATATAAAATCGCTTTATATAATTAAATGGTATTATCACTCCCTAAACTCCTAAAGACATTAAATGTAATTAATTTTATACAAATATATTATCACTTTCAAAATACACCTACTGATAATGGCAGTGGCCATATACAGAGGCGGATCTACGCCCCCTCCCCCTTAATTTTCGACAGTGCCCTTTTTTACTGCTGGAAACCCGTTGTAGGGATCCCAAATGACTCAAACCATCGACTCAAACACACCAGTCTGGTCTATTTAATGCTTCCACTTTCAAACGAATTCTTGTTGTTTAGCTGACGGTGTCCTAATCCTATAGAGTGACAAGCCTACAGACATATATCAATGATAGCATCTTGTGGAATCGGCGGCGTATACATTCATGCCCATCACCGACGCTCATGAGTGCAACTTGATGTAGCATTGTTTCATGTGTGGACAGTACACAGTACAAGTTACAAGGCTTAATATAGTGAAGTGGCTAGGGAATAGAGTCGTCTTTTTTCCCATCATGTACCAACTTTATATATTCCGTATTTAAGGAGTGAAATATACCATTTTAACAATAACTCGCTCGCCTTGACAATTTTCGAGGCGTATGTCCAACTGGCTTTTTTGCTCGATTTTAAGGCTCTTTTTCAACGATTTCCGAGCGTTAACTTAGACGAAAATATCAGCCAAATAGCTCTTGGAATGGCTACAGATGCAAGGAAATGACGGATAATTCCCTCCCCCCCCCCCCCGCCTCTCAGCGACGTGCCCCGTTTCCGCGGTCAGTGCACACATTTTGCGCTCTACCCCCCCTTTTCAAAATTCCTACATCCGCCCCTAATATACCACCCTCCAAAATACCAAGCTCGTTCTTGCTGCTTCTATACAAGCGTAACTTGCTACGTTTGGGTTTGGTACCAAGTACTTTTTAATTATAGTGATTTTACCTTATTAAAAGCTAATTTTGCAAATTACGTTAAATATCTAATCAATTTTGATGTGTTTAGCTACATTGATTTAAAGCCACGCCCAACATCCTTGTGCGTTTCTAGTGAAAACAGACATTATGAAACGCACCCATGGTTAAATTGTATACTTTAGATAACCTAAAAGTTATCCAGAACAAATTCGATGCGTGTATATTTCAAATAAAATCAAAGGAACAAACTTGAAAAACTGCTATTTTATCAGGTGTTTGATTTGGGACTCTCAACCATGTAATGTGACGGACGTTGACTACAACATGGGTTACGCGTGTTGCACGAAGCACAAATTATAAACTCAATCTTTTGTTAAATTGGTCTTTTATGTGACGGAAAGCGAACAGACAAAATAAGGGAAGGAAATAATTAACAATTCCTTCTAGGGAATTCCAGTAGAAATGTTGCCACCCATTTGCAGGTGTGCACCACTAGTGGACCTATTTCATAAGGCCAACTTCAAGTTTGGTCAAAGGTCACGAAATGTAAACAGGGCTAGAGCTAATCCAAACCCTAACCTACAACCTCGTCAACAATCACGTGCCCTAACCTTAATTACATCTCAGCGACCTAGACGAAAATGTAGTAGTTAGTTGTATTTTACGTCCGCTTCCACCGAGGTGATATCGCAGACGAAAATTGAGTTGGCCTCAAGAAATAGACCTCACCTGCTAGTGGTACGCGTCTGGTGGAGAAGGGGAAATAACTCCAGCTTCAATTTCTAGCGATGGACACAGACTACCAAAGTATTGACTCCAGTGTCGCCCCTTTGACACGTGGAAATGTCTTGTCCAAAGTATGTTTGAGGTTGACTATGGAAATTTGAAAGTCACAAATTCAAAGTAGAATTTCTGAAGAAATACAATTATTTTGTGATCAGTGACCTTGGTTCCGATTGATTACTTGATTTTTAGAACAATAACAAACCCTTATTGTACTAGTTCACAATAATTCCCAACATGCCATTTAAACATACATATGCAAGAGCACACTGATCAGCAATCAATATTCGCCAGGCAGCTACAATCACTGATAAGGATCACATCAATGCGACTTAATGAGTCTCAAATATTAACTTTTTTCTACCGACAAATTAAATTCTGAAACATTTTTTTTATGTATTAGAAAAATAAATAAAGACATTTGACGTACTTGTAGGTAAAATTATTTCCTATTTAGTGTAAATGGGTATTAAAATGAGTAAAAGGCAGCATTCTGCCCGAAGCAGTAACGTCTTATGTAAAAAATGCATGCGCCATTGAGCCAATGATTGACGCCGTGTGCTGTGACACCACATGTTGAATGCAGTCATCTTTTACAGAGATATTAGAAGACTTTCGTAATCCTCTGTGAAACAGATTGATGCAAGAGCTAAATCTGCCAATTGCAGGTCTTTCTTTAGGCCTGAAATGTTATCTAAATATTAATTAGACATTAATTAACTTATCCAGACCATAATCAACTCTCGATGGCATCACTAGCCTGCGAGATTTACTGGATTATAATCCCATTTGCTGCTTGACTTCTATTCGTAGTTTAATCATGGAATGAATGATTGAGACTATGTTTTTTATCATACAGACTTTAGTAATGATGATCGAGGCTAGGCCGAAATTTCAATCGTTTAATTCTCTGTTCATAGTGGATCAATTTGACTGAAATTTTCAGCAACTTGCCTTTACATTATCTAGTTTTTAACTATTATAGTGAGAACTGCCAGCTCTTTATCTTATCTCCCATAATGTATCTTTAAAGATTAATTCCCAACATGTTTATCCTATAAATTCTGTAAAAAATATCTTGTTTTTCACTAAGAAAACATAAATGATAATAATTTATTACAAAAATATAACTGCTTTATGTACAATTGTTATTCTATCCAATTTAAAATAAAACTAACATTTCTCTGAAGAACATCGAAAAATTATGATGCAATCAACTGAATAATATTATCTGGAGGAAAATGAGGACGATTATGATTGTCATACATGTATATTCAAAAGATATCATGACATTTTTAAATAGCAGCACACTACTTAAGGTTGCATCAGTCACTTGGTGTATGTGGTGCAGTCATTAGAAGTAATTTACTTCCGGAAAAAAATAAGTCCTTGAAGGTTCAAGTATTAATCATTCCTCAATCTATGTCAGCTGGTGCACTACTTCTCACCACTCTCTTTCCTAATACTGGTTGCACTAATAAGCGTTTATCACATATAGGTTGCCTATTTTCATGTTTCCTGATCTTCTGAAATAAAAATATTAAATACATATAACATAAACTTTCTGATTATATTATTTTTAAAGCATCAACTTTTATAGCATTACATTTATACCATCAGGTGTACTATTTAGTGATTACACCATATGAATATGCAACAACATTTTAAATATTAGAAGCTATTGTTCAAGAACTATACATGTTCCTCATTCAGATAGATACTGTAGCTAATTCATGAGTTTAGTTTTACCTGTGTTCTTGGGAATGTTTTTCTTCTTTAAAAATGGTTCATGTAATACATCATAGAGTCTTTTAGCCTATAAATTATAAAATAAATGTTATTAAATACTGTCATTTTCATTTTCCTTTTATTGTGTGGTAACAATTTATATGTTCTTGATAAAAGTAGGTTTTCTTCATTGACTCCAGAATTCTGGGTGGGGGTCAGGTAGGGGAGAGAGAAGAGAGGGGAGAGAGAGAGAGAGGGGGGCTTTAAGGTACACTCGACACAAACTAGGTCATTTCGGGACTAACATATGGTTCAATTTTTTTTCAATAATTCACTTGTGTGCAGGGGTCTTTAGCAGTGGGAGGAAACTGGAAGACCCAGAGAAAACCCACGACCCTACTCCTTGTCACGTACAACCGGAGAATCGAAACCCCACCAGTTGACTCAATCACAGACCTTATGATACAGCATGCACATGCTAACCATTTGGCCATCCAACCCCCCATCAAGAAGTAGATCTAAACAAGTCTGATGAAAACGAGTGAACATCCAATTTGCAATTAAATAAGTTAGTAAATATTTTTTTTTTAAATCAATACCTTCTGTGGACCAAACCCTGGACATAATCCTAAATCTTCTTTATCAGCTTTCATTATATTCTCTACAGACTGAAAGAAAACATGAATAACTTAAATCGTTACTTTGAATCAAACAATAACATAGATCACAATCCATTTAGTTGGTTACTTTTCAAATTCAAGACCTACATACTGTAGGCAATTTACAGAACCTCAATGACGATGAAAAGAAATGGGAGTTAAATGTCTTAACTTTTTCATATCGTCTGATCTAATAAAGACGAGCATGCGGCATGCAGTGTGCTATATGGGAAAGTTTGCTCTGATAACGTGGGGGTTGGATGGCCGATTGGTTACCATGCATGTTGGATCAGAGGATCTGCCATTTTTGGCGTGGTTTTCATTCCCGCTTGTACATGACAAAAAGTAGGGTCGCCTGTTCAAACTCGTGAGTTTTCTCTGCGTCCTCCGGTTTCCTGCCACTGCTAAAGACCCCTACGTGCACGCGAATTATTGAAATATAACTGAAACCATATGCCAGTCCTGAGATGACCTAGTTTGTGTCGAGAGGAGATTAAACCCAATTTCTCTCTGCTCTGATAACAACCCTACAGATTACTCTTATTTCAATTTCAAACTTTTTAATGTGCTGCCAAGTACACTGAAGTGACTGGACCTGCTTTTTCCATACCAGAAATAGGCACTGTTCACCGCTATGCCTTCCGTCAAGCAACATTGACAAGGAACTTTCTAGCGAACACAGAATCTAACATGGGATTTCTTGATTAGTGAGCAATCACCATACTCACTGAGTCAACATGGCTCCCAAACTGTTTTTTTTTTTTTTAATGGGGTTTTAACATCCTACTGTTTTGCTCCGAACTGGGCTAATGAAGACGGACATACGCCATACACCATACACTGTGCTATGAGGCAAATTTTGCCCGGATAGCGGCACTACGGCTTACTCTTATATCAAATTCCAACAGTCAAGGGATCTTTTACGTGCACGCCAATGTGTACACAGGACCTCGGTTTTTCGTCCCATCACTGACAATGGGGAACCACGCAAGAAAATCTGGATGAACTTTCTCGGCAAATGCAGAAATCGAACACCCGACCTCTAGGCTAGCGAGCCAGTGTCTTCCTCACTTCGCCACTGTGACCGCCCTCCCAAACTGTAATGGCTAACTTACCTTAAAAGATGATATAAGAGTTGTACAATCTGTTTTATTTACTGATTTAACCATAGTAAAACAATCTGATAACTACAAAAACAAATAATTTTATTAAAAATTTACAATCAGATTTAGTTACGAAAATAGATTCACACTGAAATTGTTTTGTATTCAAATGGCAGATAGGACTTTAAGAAGCTAGAATAAGTACTGACTAAAGAGTGGGTGTTGATAAAAAAAATTATACCACATTGTAATTATATCAAAATAGTTTACTTCCTTTGAGTGGACTATCTCACCCTATCAAGATAGCGGTGACTATCTTGATAGAAATAATATTGTTTTACCTTTGTCATAAAATTACTATCTGTTTTTTCCATAATGGCATCTGGTGGTTTATTTTCATAAACTTTATAGGTTTCTAAATATCTTCCTGCTTCTTCAGCCCTGTTTACAATTTGAAAAGTTATATAAACACATGTTAAGCAATATCTTTTTCTCATTGCTTAAACTGACTGATGTCTGTGTACAGATGTTTTAAATAATACCCCAGTTTAATAAATGATTTATCTCCCTTGAATAAGTGACAATAGAATATAGTTGATGCTCAATTGTCATGCCGGAAAGTTCCAAACTGACAGAATGTTAACCCAGTTACGTGGAATTCCTTCTTGTCACAGTTCTCTCAGTCCCGACAACTGAGGAGGTGTAAGTAGAATTATGACATAATCAAACAACAAACACAACAGCTGTCATGGTTGGTTGAGATATACATACATGGTCTCAATTCTGTATCAGTCAATTGCAATTTGATCAATTCGGAGCATTCCAGAGTATGTTTAGTAAATCATATTTTATGTGTCAAAAATACTTTAAGTAGTCTCCATAAATACTGGTGACTTTTTAAAAGCACTGCCCGGCTGACTTTTGACAATGCAATGAAATTATGGCCAAATCTTTCATAATTATATCATAATCCTTTAGTAGCATTTAGTGATTGGAACATCAATTAGAAAGTATACAAATAACTTACGTAAAAGCTAACATCAATGTACAATCTGCTAATATACATATCTTTGATAAACCTTTCAGTAAATGATGTGGATCTGCCTAGAATAACATAATATTTAAAACAATAGTATTCAACTTTAATCATTAATAACAGATACACTGAGAACCAATTATAGATGAATAATTAAGCAGATTCTTTAACAACCATTTATATGTATTATCTGGTAGTCTATATTTATGTATATGACAAACAATCAATGATTACTTACTAAATCTACTTGAACTAATAACACCCGTAAATCAAAACTTCTACCTAATGACTTTAATCTATCATGTATATAATTAGGATGTAACTGATGGTATCGTAGACTACAAAAGAAAATTTAAAAACTGTATTATTTTATTATAAGTTACACACTTTTTATAACCATGATCTGCATTACTTGAACTCAATGACAAAATGGTGTAGCAATTGTAGTTTATAAGCAGACCAAATACATTGATAACATCAGAAGCATTTTGAAAATCATCTGCATAACCACAAACCTCATTTCTAACACTTCTGAAGCCCATCCAACAGCATTTATGACAATAAATGTTAATTCTAATTGATAAATGTAAGGACTGATTGCTGGATTTTTTAGGATTACAGGTTTTTAAACTTTATCATTTATTTTACTTAACTTACAGACCAACAAAGTGCAGATGGTATCACCATCTATGTTTTACCGTTTTTAGTGTCTAGATTACAATCCAAGAACACTTTTCAGTCTTTATTTGTTAAAATTAAATAAGAAAAATGCTAAATGGTTTTTGCCATGTAGCATTTGTAATGTCCAGATCTAATTATTTTATTGAAAACAGAAACAAGTCATCAAAAATAAAAATTTACCTGAGAAACAAAGCACAAGTTGCTTGTCCCATGACATAATCTGGAATAATATTACCATATTCCCATGGTATATTCCTAATATGTTTCAAGATTGGATTGCCTCTCTGTAAATATGTTCAAATGAAAACAATTCAGTTAGATACATGTATCTTATGTTTACAACCCCAATAAAGACAGAAATTCATACAAGTTCATTTCAGTGCTGAATATTTTTTAGAAAAATAGTTTAACAAATAAAAAACAGATCTTGATTTTATAATAATACATGTTTTACCTGTCTTGGATTAACAATGACAGAGTTGGTAGTACCTAATTTAGCTAATGTTGGAAAATTTCTGAAAAAATAACAAACTTGGTGGTTAATAATATAAAAATGCATTACGATGTTTCACACAGCCCAAGTCTTTAAGAACATACATGCAAATGCTTTCCAGATTACTGGGCCAATATCTAGAAGCTGAAAATATCTACCCACATTTATGGTTTTAATAATAGTGGAAAGCTATATAATTCCACTTAGTTATTATATTATAAAATCACAATTAGTATTAAATCACTTACTCCACTGTTTCTTCTTTCTTTCCATTGTCAGTTTTAACTACACCTGATGAAGGTGTTGCTTTCTGGACAACTGTTTGTTGTACATTAGGAACGTGGCTGCTATTTTCAGGGACATTATCAGTAGACTTGGTACTGGTGATGCATGATGTGGACTCTCCCAGCTGATTATTCAAATCTTTAGTTTTTTTAGTTGATTGAAAGTTTTTAAATGTAGACTGGATGTTACTCTAAAATATTAATATCATGCATCATTAACAATCGCTTAATCCAGGAATTAATTCCCGCCATTGGTTTCATTTTTATAAATGTCACGTGACCATCAAAATACATTTATGGTACATCTTTGACACATCTATGTCTATGGTTACAGTACAGAGCAGATAACAGATTTGTGACTTCCCAATTTTCATTTGGCAGTAGTGTCAGCACAAAATCGTAGATATAACTTAAAGGAGATAAATCGCTAATATTTGGGATCTAGAAATTGACACAAATGGGTCGCAATGCATCCAATAATGTAATATGAATGTATATAAATTGATTTACATTCAATAGTTTCTATTTTTACTGTAATTTCTAATCAGTTACGTTCGGCGAAATACGTTAGAAGTCTCAATCGAATGGAAATCTCTAACGTCTGGTTATTCCAGCCTACGCCGATAGTATTTATTGCGCATGCTATCCAGATAAGAATATAGCATCACCGTTTGACATGACTTGTGGAATGTGCCTAGCCTCGTTTTTCGAGTCCCTTATTACCAATAGCGCTGAAACACAGTATGGTACACGATTCGTGTACCAATTGTAAAATGTTTATTTTGTCTTAAATATTGGATATGAGAAGGCTATCTTTTCCCGGTCAGATCACAACATCAATGTTGATTTAAACGGACAATTAATTCGTGTTTTCAATGTCGAAGATTTTGGATGATATTGAGTTAGAGACTTAGCTACTTTTAAACATACACAGTGTTATCATTTCTAAGGGGATGCTATGTACAATACAATACTACAAATAGTGACAATCAAGTGAAAAGAAGGCTGCCAGACTACAAGTACAACGCATGCACCAACTGAATAAGAAAATACTGCAACCATATTCATTCAATGAATCAATAATTGGCTGTGTTGAATCACACACCTCAATCAGTTATCTGGAATGACAGAACTATGACAGGATTGAATTCTGTGTCATTCAATTCAAACTGTCCGTTCCGGAATCACAATTAACAATTAACAATCACCCCCCCCCCACACACACACACACACACACACTCCCCTATAATTCATTCATAATAACAGACAGTATCATTATTATAATAACAACTGTACCGGTACCACCTGTAGGCCTATACTAACATAGCCATTTAACTATCATTTATATTTTGTTTTTATCCTTCGACACGATTGTATTCTTTTTTCTTTTTTTTATCTATAACACATTTTTTGAGCATTTCATTTTAGTAAAGGTATCTTTCAACCACTATCTAAGATGTGATATTATCCAATTGTATACCGATTTTCTTTCTGAATCATCAATTTCTTCTAAGGTTGGTATTGCGAATTTTTTGCTTCTGGGCGCAGCCATGACAGCAATGGGGGATAACTCACATATTTTCCGTTACAACATGGCAGCTGTTCTGAAATAAAGAAATAAATATTTGTTTAGAGCCTATTATTTGTTAACGTCGTACTACATGCATCAAGATGTATAAAGGATTAACAGGAATTTTCCTCGCTTTTTTGTGCCTTATTTACAACGGTAAAAAGTAGCAAAGAGTCCTAAAAAAAGTTCATAAAATAAAAATTTGATATTGTATCTGTAGCTATACAATCTAAAAGATTTATAAAATATAATAGTCTAATGAATGTAATCAGTTAGTCACAAACATTTTAAGGACCAGGCCCAGTCAATGCAATAAAGCGATAGTCGTATGTGATGAGGGGGCAGCGGTGATTCAGTGAGTAAGATGTTAAAATTGCCTCGCTAACCGGGAGGTCCTGTGTTCTATCCCAGTGTTGGCCGAGAAACTTTATCATGATTATCCGGCATGGCCCCCCCCCCTTGTCAGTGGCCATTGGTGTAGGATGGAAGGCCTAGAGCAAGGGACAATGTGTATAGTCATTCAGATGGGATGAAAAACCGAGGCCTGTGTAGACTAAACATTGGCATGCACGTAAAAGAATCCTTGATAATTGGAATTCTATATATGAGTATGCATGTCTTCATTAGCCCAATTGGTGCAGAAAAGTAGGACATTTAACCCCATTTCATTTCGTATGTTATGAATGAATGAAGTGGATATCAGTGTTTTGTTGTTTTGGTTGAATCAGCTCGCATGTCATGATGATTGATTTTTGCGAGACAGCACATACATGGATACATCTTAAATTAGATCATCTATTACTTTTCAAAATGAAATGAAATGGGGTTTAACGTCTTACTGTTCTGCTCCTATACTGGGCTAATGAAGACGGGCATACGCCATACAGTGTGCTGTGAGGGAAATTTTGCCCGGGCAGCGGCACTTATGCCTACTCTTATATTGAATTTCAACTGCCAAGGGATCTTTTACGTACATTCCAATGTATACACGGGACCTCGGTTTTCCATATCATCCGAAGGACTAGACAGCTGTCCTTGTCAGGCACTCCGTTCTACACCACTGACAAGGGGAAACCACATCGGAAAATCAGCATGAACTTTCTCGGCCAATGCAGGGATCGAACACCCGACCTCCAGGCTAGCGAGCCAGCGTCTTAACCACCTAGCCACCGTGGCTCCCCTATTATTTTTCAGCTTGTATCTTATATTACTATGAACATAGAGAGGACATAGTAGGCTATTTGTAGCCTATATTCAAAATATATTTTTATTTCCTTTGAAAATGTCCATTTATGATCATAATGATGTTAAGAGTCAAACAATGAGCTGCACAGTGGCAGGAAGAAGATTATAATGCTTCTGAATTTAGGCATTGGCTTATACAACTTACAGTATTTGATTTTAGGGCGCTTGATATCATAAATGAGAATATTATTCTAAAAGATTTAACAGGTAGCTTAAAATTGACCCCTAATGTTCAAAAGGAATTCACTGAAATAGATAGAAGTGCAATGACTCCCTTGCCCTGCTGTGTCCTTTCCCCCGACTTGTGCCTCTTCAATTTCATTGAGTTTTCATAAGAAATCATTGTATCTTTTAGATGTGAATTGTGAATTTACAAACATGAAAATAGTGGATGAACCTTCTAGTTATGGGTAAGTTATTTTTAACTTGCATTTAACTGATCTTTCCCAATAAAAATGATTTGCTAGTCAGTTATTTGGTTCAATTAAAAAGTAATTATTAGAATTTGGGAGATGTTTTTTAAAAATAGTAGTGGTGATTTGACATCACGGGTGATCAAATTAGATTGTATGCAAAAGTTTAGACAAATTGACCAATCCATTGCTATGGTATAGGCATGTTAACTTCAGTTTACAGGTTGTTTAATGCTTTTCAAGGAGTTGAGAACAAATACCATGGAAGCACGTTAGTGTAAAATGTCCAGTGTCTGGGGTTTTTTTTTATAATTAGCTGAATCTAAGGTTACTATAAATATCATTCATATTGTTCAAAATTAATAATTAGATTTATTTTCATGGAAAAAGTGACATCAAGTTTGGGAATAATGATTTTGGTTTTACCCTGACAAAATGTCAGGCACTAATGAAGTAGTCTCTGATATTTTGAATTTTATGCCAGACACATATCAATGGTACCGGTATTAAATAGACAATGAGTCTCCAACAGAATAACCGGCACCTGGGAAGTTTGTGACAAAGTCTGAATTTGTGCCTGGCAGTATTTGTGACCAATGCCTTATTTTCAGGTTTGGTACTGATAATGCACCTGAGAAAATAGCTATAGATTTAAAGCAGTCAAAGAGCTGCTGTCATGGCAAAAGTCTATCCTTTTATATTAATCAATAAAAAGTTTTTGATCGCTTAACACATTTGACATAGAAGTCTGTAATATCCTTTGTTTTGATAAGTTTTATTTTATTATAGGTTAAATAATAATGGTTACTATAATCCATACGTTAACACGTTAACTATGAGAGTTAAACCTGCTAATTTCTCTGGACCACCACATCTGAAAAGACTGGTAGGAAAATGTTTTAATAAGATACTTGAATCGTAAGTACCAAAAGGAATTTTCTTTACAGGGAATGTTGCCTGTCAGCTCTGTTATTAAATGTTACAGGCAATGGCTTTTGTGTATTTACTAATTTAAGATTATGTAAATTGTTATTTAATATCTTTCATCTTTGACTGACTTTAAGTTTGATATATCATGTTTGTTTGTTTATAGATATAAGTATAAGTTCTGTCCATTTTCAAATGTTACACAACATGAACAGAGTTTACGCTGGAATCCCTATAGTGGTGTGTTAGGGTAAGTCATGGTTACTATGAGGATAGATTAAACATACTAACTTAAATAGTTTACGGATTAATGTCGACGAGCAGGTAGAGGAGTTAAGAAATCATTTATTTCTGGGAGTATCAAGGACCAATCATAAAACTACTAATGAGTATAAAGCAACCTGTATAACCATGACATAGTGTTATCTTAATATTTCAGAGGGAGGGGGGGTTGCATGGCCAAATGGTTAGCACAAGCGCGCTGTATCATAAGGGCTGTTATTGAGTCAACTGGCATGGTTTCAATTCCCAGATTGTACGTGACAAGGAGTAGGGTCGCCTGTCCAACCTTGTGGGTGTTCTCCGGGTCCTCCGATCCTACGCACAAGCCAATTTAAAAAATAAAATTGAACCATGTGTTAGTCCCGAAATGACCTAGTTTGTGTTGAGTGGACGTTAAACCCCATTTCTCTCTCTCTCTATTATTTCAGAGTTTGGCAAGAATGGGAAATAAGGAATAATACATTTGTTGCTATGGTAATGGGAGATGGAGATAGTTGTGGAGAAAAATTTAGACTAACAAAGGTACATGTTTTACAAATAAATAAATAAATAGATAATATGTTCCCTGTAAAAATAATATTAATCTTTTGTTTTTGTATACTTAATTTGAAAAAAGTTTATGATCGGGCTTCATCTTGACCTTTCATCAGATTCCTGGTTTAATGCTGAAAAAACTTTTTGAAATTATTCAGATTTTAATACTTGTTACAGAATTAGACTTGTTACAAGAGTTAAATAACCCAACAGAAATATACTCACTTTATCTTGTTATGCAATTTTTGATCAGTGTCTAGAGTAAACAAAGCATTGAACTATTCTGAAATAAAATATGATTTAACTGAATTAAATCTATAATTGTTTTTGTTTTTTTGGACAGGTATTTTTTGTTTGTGGTAATAAGTCTGTTATCTTAAATGTTACGGAACCTCATACATGTGAATATCATCTCACATTTCAAACAGTATTAGTATGTCATAAGAACGCCATGTTAGTCTATCCTATGCTATCCAAACCAGAACGAGATACATGGAATCAACTGGAAACTTTATTAGCTTATGAAGAAATAACACAAAAGGTAAGATCATTGAATACTAATATAATGGCAGATGTCATGCATGGAACAGGGTATTCTTTCACATTCTGGAACACCCAATACCAATTGCCACATGGCTTGGCTGAAAAGGGTTTCTTTGGTGGATTCACATTCCTTTGGATTTATTTCATGTATGCTGGATTTGATATTTGACTTTGTAAATTGTCTATCATGTGGATTTTTTTCTCTTTAGGGATATCAGAAAAAATTACGTTTACTATTTGAACAAGCTGGTTTATATCTTACTAAAGAAAAGAAAGAAATATTAGCAACAAAAGTTCGAGAAGAAAATAGACAAACATATAATACAGGCAGTAACAATGGACGCTTTTTCCTTATAGATAAATGTAACACAGTAAGTATGTTGAAATGAAATGGAATGAAATAGTCATTGACATAGTGACTGACACAGGATAGTAATTGACATAGTGATCCAGTGTGTTTCACAGTGACTGACACAGCACTTATTAATAGCATTTTTTGGTAGCTCACAGTAACCGACATATTTTACTTTGATTTTATATTTAACAAATAATATAAAAAGGTTATAAATGCAGTTTCCTTTGAAACACAGTTATTAAGTCTAAGGGAGGTAACTATTTAACACAAGACATTTTCAGTACTGTAGATGTATTTAATTCACATTTTGTCTTTCTTGGTTGTATTTTTTTATAGGAATATCAAAAATTGGAAACAGAAAATGAAAGATTGAAAAAACTATTGAAAGATAATGGTATTAGTGATGAAGGTAATCATTTTTAGCTTGCTGTAATTTAATAACAACCCACAAAATCCTTGATGTCATTTCTTCATAACCTGAATACTAAATTTTTTAGATTTTAAAGGTTTTTTTTTTATATACTGCAAACTATGTGGACACTATTGCTGTATAAATAAATTACCAATCTCATTTTATATTATTTCTTTTAATTGCAGTTGAAGTGAAACCCTCTTCAAACAACACAAGTATGCCTACTGCTGTAATTCCTGATAATAATAACAATAACACATTACATAATATAAATAATACTATCAGTAATCATGAAAAAAGTTAAATCATTTTTAATCCACTGTATTTATATCTAGTTTTACATATGTCTATATTCCATATTGATTGTTTAATATTAAATAATCAGATCAAGATATGATTTGTTGACAGAAGAGGGTTGTTAATTATAAGATGCCTTATTCCTTATTAATGGAAATTTCATGTGCAATAATTTCATGATGTATATTTTTTATTAATTTTTTTGTATACAATTATTTAAAACAGGTTGTTATTTTGTTTGGGGAACATGACAGATCCAATTCAGTTTAATGAAATTTGTTTAAATTGTGGGGTATAATTTTATAGATGACTGTAAAGCACAAATATGGATTATATCATCTCAGGGGGGTGGGTAGTCGATGGGTTAACATGTGCGCGTTTGATCACAAGGTCTGTACGTGGCAAGAAGTAGGGATTTTCTCTGGTTCCCCCAGTTTCCTCCAGCCGCTAAAGATCCCTATGCACTAGCAAATTATTGAAATAAAATTAAATCATATGTTAGTCCCAAAATTACTCTCTCTTCTCTCTCTCTCTCTCTCTCTCTCTCTCACACAGAATGTTGGTTGAAACAGATAGAAAATCAAAGTATAAAATATTCTCTCAGATAATAATAGTTCATACCTAATACCTGTGGACTGCTATATACAAGTATACAGGGTTTCACACTGTATGGTTTGGGGTGGACCAGTTTTTATAGATTTTAACATGGTTATTAGAATATTGTCTTTATGTTTGATGTAGCTTTTAGGTATGGTAATACTCCACCTTTTTTGTCTCATCCCTTTAATAGGAGGTATAGGTACTAATTTATTGCTCATTGGGATATATATAAATGGTTTGTTTTGTTTTGTTTTTTTTATCTGTGATGCATATTTCTGAATAAATGACTTAATTTCATTTCCCAAATTGGATAGTTAAAGAAGTTATGTATTTTGCATTGCGGAATTTATTTTAACTGTAGGTAATGAATAACATAATGACTAAACTTCTCTTTTAAAGAAATAAAATATGGTATGTGTAATGAAAAAAGTATAAATGTTTGTATGACTTATAAAGAAAATCTATTTTATATTTTTTGTAAATAAATGAAATGAAATGAAATGGAGTTTAACATCCCACTGTTTTGTTCTGACTGGGCTAATGAAGACAAGCATATGCCATACAGTGTGCTATGAGGGAAATTTTGCCCCAGACAATGGTGGTAAGACCTACTCTAATATCAAATTCCAGCTGCCAAGGGTTCTTTTCAAGCACATCAATGTGTAGACAGGATCTTGGGGGGGGGGGTTTCCGTCCCATCCGAACAACTATACATTGTCCCTTGCCAGCACCACTGACAAAGAGGAACCACATCGAAAAAACCTGATAAATATTCTTGGCCAATGCAGTGTTTGAACACAGGACCTGCAGGTTAACGAGTCAACATCTTGCTCACTGAGCCACTGTGGCTCCCTTTTTGTGAATAAATTCATTCTGATCTTTTCCATCAATATGGTTCTATATGTATATTTTACAGCAGGTTATATTGTAATAAATGATTGGATATTGGATATTAATGTTTCTGTTTCAGTCTCTTTAATAAGGTTAAAGAAACAACTCTAAAACAAAAGTATCTTGCCAGGTAAAAAGTCAAATTGATAACCACATGCTCCCAATACTTGTCATATCTTATTTCCATAGTTATTGCCTATGATCACATTGTAAAGACTAAGTTATCATTGGATTGTTTTGATATCTATGTGCATTGTTAGTGTTAGAATGACATCATATTCTGATAAATATTTTGAAAAAATCTAGTGCAGAGACTGACATATTAAATACCAGTTGATGATGGGCTGTAGCCCAAAACTCGTCCTGGATTAAATCATTATACATGTTCTTTACCTAGTCCTGTCAAGTTTGTTGCTCGGGATTGATGATTTTGGATTTATTTATGTTGTTTACATGAGTTAATAGAGTTATTGTTATTGTTTCACTTTGTAGAACCTCTTAAACACTGTAACGACTAAAGTTATCATCCGATCTGTATTAAATTTACATGCATTGTTTAAATTAGTAAAACGAAGAATTGTATTAAATTTCAACAATTTCCGTTAAAAGCGTATGGAGTTATGGCCATTGTTTCGCTCTAACGACAAACGTTATCCTCCGATCTGAATTAAATTTACATACACTATCTAAAATAGTTAAACAAAGAATCCTATCGATTTTCATCAATTTCCGTTAATAGCTGATTGAGTCTTGGTCATTGTTTCACTTTGTTGAACCTTGTGAGCGCTCTATCGACAAGAGTTATCATCCGATCTGTATGAAATTTATATGCATTATCTAGATCAGTAAAACAAAAAAGCCTATCGAATTTCAACAGTTGCCGTTAATTGCTTCTAGTTACTATAATTTGTGTTGTTACCATGCTATATGTTATTAAACCAAGGAACACATATTTGCTGAGCGTCCCCCCCCCCCCCCAAGAAGGGCCCGTGGAGTTTACTTCTTTTTCTCGAATCACGTCTTTCCTTCTATATTCAGCAAGTTGCTATTCCTCCTAGATACCATTCCTCTTGAGCTCCTGAAACGGGGCTGCACTTTTATGTTTAAAACGTGATCGTATGGGTACATTGTTTTGACTACAAAATTTAGATTGATTCTTATTATAGTCCATACGTTTCACTATTTACTAGACTAATAACCATCGATTTTTCATATAATACACCGAGCTTCCTATTTATTCCTGTATAAGCCTCTTTTCTCAAGTTGGATCAGCACTCTTTATCACGAATTTAACCAAAGACACTGTCATCTACAAACGATTAAATGTCATATTTCATTACTACGACTGCATCCCGAGAATAAAATAGTAATAATCGTTTACAATATTACAATAACCACCGCTATGATACTGTGTATAAAACGGAGAATTCCAAAGAGCCAAATGCAATTACAGGGCAATTAAAACTTTCTCAATTGCATGAAATAATTCTTTCAGGTGATAAGAGAACGTGTCTTATAGATTGGGGCATAAATATTCCCCTTCTTATTAATGGAATTGTAGAATGTTTTATGTTTAGGAAATAGGAAATATTATGTGGTTGTTATCAGTTTGGAAATCATAATGAAACGATCGTGATTAAATATTGTTTATTACATCTTTATCTGTGAAATACACACACATTCTTAATTAGTTCCATTATATTTTCTTTGAAAGCGGATCAAAGTGGTTATTATTCACATTGAATGGATTTCTATAATGTTCACGGTGATATGGTCGTGTTACTACACCCATTGATAAAAACTCATTAACAGTTGGAATTAAGGCGGTGATGAGTTGCTTGTATGTATTTGAAAATATTTGGTCTCTTGATATTTGTGAAATGCGCTATTCGTTCCATTTTCTCTGAATTTTGGAAGTTATAAATTAATAATCATGAAGATAACGAAGGGGATATATTCACGGCACATGAAACAGGTAAGAAAATCATTAATAATTTATATTTGAAAAAGAAAACCCAATGATTTTGACATTTTGTTAATGTGATGCTGTTCTACGCACATACGGACCGGGCAGAAATATATCAAAAGCTACAAATACAAAATTCTCAATGTGTATCCATTAAAGAATTTACTATGCTGACATTACTTTTGAATCTTTTGCGGTGCTGATCTTACTTTTGAATCTTTTAAGCTTTTGTTTCTATTTTTTGTAATCTTGTTGACACATATTACAACGGATTAATAATATTGTCAAAGATAATACTATCTAAAAGAGTTGTAGTTACCGAGTGGTTCGGAAGCCTTGCCGTTTCCTATTGCCTCTTATCTTGCGAGAGCTACTCAGCATTATTGCTAACACTAACAGGAATCATTGATATATGTCGGAAATAAAAGTGTCGATTTATCGAATGTTATGTGGCATCAGCTTTTCGGCCCGCCATTTTTTCTGAAATTTATTTTTTTTAAACCCAATATTAGTTAATGTCGGGAGTCTGGTAATATATGCCCTTGGGTTGAATAGCAAGGTTTCATGCATATTTTCATGGCAGAGTATGTATAAAGGATTTCTTGAAAATTGGAATTATCAAAACAATCCTCCCCCTTAATGCAAATGTCTCCACAGAAAAGCTAGCCACCTTTTTCTAAAAAATATTTCAAACTCCACTGCAAATAATATTTATGCTTTAATCAAAAGAAAATAATGATGTATTTGTTAAATCTATCCATGATTTGTATAGTCATGCCACACAATTGTCAGTCTTTCTGGGTCCTTTCTAACAGAATCTCTTTCTTTTTGTTCTCTCAAATTGATTTGACAATTCATGGGATGTAAAAGTATTTTGGATTAAACAGGATTTAAGCCGAGATAGAATTTTAGACTCTATATTTCATTTTAATAACATAATGGCAAATATGTGCTTTTTGTTAACTTTTATTGTGCATGGTCTGAAAGGCTATATTTGCCTATAGCTGGAATGTTGGGCCATTAAAGGAAAAACAAAAGACGTTTAAAATAAAAAATATATTTTACCATAAAGTGAGTGACATATATAGATCTACTTGTATACAGTGGGATTTACACCGATGTTAAAATATGGGTAATCTCATACATACAGACATAAATAAATCAGTTTATTTAATACTGTAACTTGGTATTCAAATACCTACATCAATATAACAAAAACAATTTAATTAAATGTGCATTGCGTAGTAATAGGAAATCAAGGGTTCAAACACCAGTAATAAAGTCAGTAAATGTGCATCGCCTTGCACCCCCCACCCTATTGTTAGTTACACAACTGTTCTATTCATAACAGGCATTATAATACACTGTCTAATAGTTCAAAGGGTTGATTTCAGAATAACAAGTTGTCTTGCAATAAAGGAAAACAAATTAACTATATTTATAAATAGAATACATAATACAGATTTCAACAATACATAAATATAATAACAAAACATAAGTCAAGGAATGTTAAAATACCTAAAGTAGCAGTCTTAGAGTTCACAGGATATCTGATTTTAGAAATCGGATGAGTATGCAAATCAAACGCCAAAATGTAAAGAAATTACCTTGTTTGAAAACTTCAGCTCAAATTACCGAGAAAACAGAGATTCAGATAGTTGCACTTGACAAGCATAATGTTTATACAATTCTTGCACTAAAGTATCCAGTTTCATTGAGTAAAATGTATCTATATAGTATGGCTCCTGTAACATAATTTTTTTTTAAAAAAAATATGCAGAATATTAATAGAAATCCTAGTGGAATTTAGTTACAGAAAATTTATTTCAAAATAATAAACTAGGTGAATGAATAAATAAATTAACTGAACTATCTTATATCTACTTTTACCCTACTGCATATCTCAGCTCAGATCTTATTATTCTGAAAAATTTCTACATACTTCATTTCTACATTCTAGCCTTTAGAATATAAAATGGATTTTAATTGTAATTCTGAAAAATTTCTACATACTTCATTTCTACATTCTAGCCTTTAGAATATAAAATGGATTTTAATTGTAAGTAGAAATTATCTATCTTTGGAAATATATCAAAAAAAGTTATGGTTTTGAACATCTGAATTGGCCCAATATTCAATCAGGGAAATGATAATGAACACTGATACTGTTGACTATCGTTAGTGAATATATTTGTTTTAAACTATAGAATATTTTGTCTGGCTATAATAAAGGGGATTTTTATAATTTGTGACCAGGCCATTCATATAACTCTGGTTCAAATGTCTGATAATCAACACTATATTGATGTGATCGAATAAATGTATCAAGATTGTCAGGTTTAGGATAACGATAAGCTAAGTTATGTTTATAGGCATATTCCGCTACTTTAACAGCTATAGTTGTTGAAACTTCGAGTATTTTAGATAATGGTGGATAAACTCTTCCTTCTTCTAAATCCGATTTTTCTACTAATTTACTCAAAACCTGAAATAAATTTTAAAAAACAAACAATTATACAGTTTTTATTTAACCTTTTTTCATCAATGAGGGCATGTGGTCAAACATCTGCTATTTAGACCTTGTAGATTAAGTCCACGGTTTTACACAGCAAGGAGTAGTGTTGTCTGTCTAACCTTGTGGGTTTGTCCTGAAATGATGTGGACATTAATTCAAAGTTAATAAAAAAACAAACTTACTTCTGCTGATTCTAAGAAGATTTCTTCCGAAATAGTTCTAACATCACATACAATAGCAGTTAGTCCTACACCAGGAAATATATAGGCATTGTTTCCCTGACCAGGATGAAATGTTTTACCTCCTACAGTCACTGCTTGAAATGGACTACCACTAGCAAATACTGCTTTACCCTACAAGACAGAAGATAATGTTAAAATAGAGAATTTGCATGGGTCATTTTGAAACAAATGACATTGAAATATATTGAGATAAATTGATACATGTTGAACAGTACATTCACCAATTGTAATGTTGACATGAATGTAACATTTGTGTTCTAAAAACATTGAAGGAGAATCAAAAATGGCAGCAGCACAGAACATTAATTATGATACGATTTTCCCCTTTTATAGATATGTAAATATTAATACCAATACAAAGCCACAGCATTGTATAGTTTTTCTAACAAACAGTTGCGTGCCCGAGTTTTAAAAGAGTTTGCATTTACTTAAACTTTACACAAAATCCAACCATGTTATTTAAGCACAAATGCAGAATGCTTTCAAATGTTACAATCATTTTCTCAACCAAATACCGAACTAATTAAAGCATGTACATGTAAAATGAGGTGAAATATGAAGTTTAATATATATTTTACCTTGGTAATAGTATAAGCTTGTTCCGCAGTACATTCAGCTTTACTAGTTGGATTACTTAAAGCAAATATAATAGGTCTTTCATTAAACTTGGCCATATCTGTTAATATCTTCTCATTAAAAGCCTGAGGTTGAGCTGCAGCTCCTATAATAAAAATATTTCTATAATCCACAGGGTTCATTTTATATAGAAATCAGTATATGATAAATTATCAATTTAACCAAATCACATTGACTAGAATCTGGTATGTCACATGATACACAAGTATTATCAACATATTACCCATACACCATGTAAGGTAGTGTTTCTGATTAATTGTATTTATCTTCCCTTGGGTCTGGTTAATATTTCGACACAATAATAGAATTCCTCTCTTTCCAAAGTAGGTTTTCAGATTTGAACGTCACAATTGCAACACATATAAACGTGTCTGGTAAGCAAACCTCCTAAAAAGGCATTAAAAATTTAGAGATCTTCGCTGTATTATTTCAGATTGATTCAATACTCAGTTCGGCTTGGTTCCTTGTGAATGCAATAAATTATCTAGGCCCACCTAATGACTGAAATTCGAAGCACGGAGGTATTTGGAGTGAGGTATTATTCACAACCATTGGTTATAAAACAACTAAAAAAACCTTTGTCAATTGAGAGTTAAAACATATGAAAATCCGAGATGACCTTATAATTATAGTCAATTCATATCAATTTTTTTTTTAACCAACTGGCAATATTTTCCTAAGTCCTAATACTTCTTTAAATAGGATATCGATCAATATTAATTACATTTTATTATCTAGGTGAATTTGATAACATCTTCTTAAGTAAGAACTCTAATTAGTTACACCCAGTTTCTAAATATTCATATTATTCCACGCTTGTAATAAGTGAAAATGACAATGAAAAACAACGACAACTCTCGTAAAGTCGGGGAACATCTGAACTGGGATCTCAGCAATTCATAAGGGGTTCAGGAAGACGACGATATATAGCCAGATGCAAACTCTGTAACCAGTGTAGATTAGAACAACTCCATGGTTGAACTAAACAGATTTATTGGTTTAAACGTTTCGCACAAGTGAAGAAAGACACCACTTGTCCGAAACGTTTAAAACAATAAATCTGTTTATTTCATCCATGGAGTTAATCTAATTCCCACTGGCTTGTAATAAGTATAAGAGAAATATTTCTATAAGTATGTTATATTTATACCTATTATAGCTGTTGGTTTTACTGTTGATACTACATCTTCTAATTTATCTATTGGTGCATGAGTTTGTGCAAATTCTTCTTTGTGATGAGTTAAACCCCCTGCTGGTCGATTCTGAAACACATAAATAAATCTTCTAATAAATAAAGTATTAAACTTGACTAGAAACATAATAAAACAGCAGAACATGCTCATACTTATTCATTACTCTCTTTTTTTAAATATTAACCATGTAACAGTACATGAGAATAAAGTGATAATTCTGTCATTAATAAGCAGAACATGTCATAATATAATAAATTTTGTTATTTTATAACATACTTTGTTGATAATAGCCAGAGTCAGTTCAGTTTTCTGATTGAATTATGACTGCAGAAAAAAATGAAATTGTTATCAACTTTGAAAAATGTTTAAAAGTTGTTCAATCAATTATTTTTAACCTATGAGTTTCATATTTTTTAATTTATTAACATATATATGTGGTATAAGCTGTTACATATGAATATAATATGAACATATTCCTCCAATAATCCATATATTGACTTAATGGATGAATTATACATTACAGATATTCATTTATTATTTGGTAACATTATTACATTTTCAGTCAATCATACCTTAACAATCAAACCTTTGGAATCTACCATCCATATCCTTTTTACAGCCTCTTCTTTTGATAAACCAGATTTCATTAATGCCATTACTAATAGTTTAGCTATACCTATTGATGCCTGAAAAGACCAAGATATTTTACATATGATTTCTATAACTGACCATATCATTAATACTTTTAAGGTACCTGTTATGTCATGATCAACATAATCTAAAATAACTGAGAAACAAAGCACAGATACATGTAGGGGGAGCAAGAGATAGAGAGAGAGAGAGAGAGAGAGAGAGAGAGATGGGGTTTAACACAAGCTAGGTCATTTGGAACTACCATTTTGTTTCAATGATTCACAGAGCGAGATTATATGAAACAGGGTTTAACATCCTACTCAAGACTGATACTCGAGAGAGAAAACCAGTGGACCCAGAGATAAGCCAAGGGGTTAGGCAGTGAACACGAGATAAACCACGTGGTTAGACAGTGGACCCTACTCACTTGACTCAATGATGGACCTTGTATCTATATTACAAGTGTTAGACTATTTGACCACCCAACCCACTGAACACAGATGCAATATTCAAGTGCAATTAAATACATATTCCCATAGAAAATATAAAAATTATACAGGGAATAAAATGGAAAAATATCTTAATGAAAGCATCTGTGTAGGGAAATATGTTTATAGTAAATTGTTTTATCCCTGAATATCTGTGAAGAATTTCCTTTTCTACAATTCTAAATTAATTTAACTCTGTGTCACTCATACCTCTCCAGCTCCCTGGAACACAAATTTATTTTCAGACAACTTCTTTTTGGTTATGTTGAGACTGGCTAATATTCCTGCAACTGCTACTGCAGCAGTACCTTGATGAACAAAAGTAAAACATTAAAATCTTAAGATAAATTGAATTTTTGTTTTATCATAATCACTAATTGCCTGTAAACTAAAAATGTAAAAGACTAGGGATGGTTCTAAAGCATAATTCTGGACATTTTCCCTTATATTAAGAACTCAGTCACATTTTTATAAAGTAATATTTTTATACATTTTGTTTTATATTCTCTAGGGTGATCATGTAACAGAAAAAATAAATCAGATATTGCTACCTACCCTGTATATCATCATTAAATGTACAATATTTATTTCTGTACTTTTCTAGAAGTCGGAATGCATTATTGTTACCAAAATCTTCAAACTGAATCAAAACATTTTCTCCATACCTTTAATAGAGAATTTATTTTAAATGGATATTGCCTCGTATGAAAGTTGTATTTAACCATACAATTCACCATGGCAACTGAAGCTGGTCTTGTTTTTCTGTGCCCTACCAAATATAGCACAACGAAACATGGTATTTGTATGAAATGAAATGAAATGAAATGGGGTTTAACGTCCTACTGTTCTGCTCCTATGTTGGGCTAATGAAGATGGGCATACGCCATACAGTGTGCTATGAGGGAAATTTTGCCTGGGCAGCAGCACTATCGCCTACTCTTATATCGAATTCCAACTGCCAAGGGATCTTTTACATGCATTCCAATGTATACACGGGACCTCGGTTTTTCGTCTCATCCGAAGGACTAGACAGCTGTCCTTGTCAGGCCCTCAGTCCTGCATCACTGACAAGGGGGAACCACGCCGGAAAATCTGGATAAACTTTCTCAGCCAATGCAGGGATCGAACACCCGACCTCCAGGGTAGCGAGCCAGCGTCTTACCCACTTAGCCACGTGATACCCTGGTATTTGTACATTAGGGTGATTTGTCAATGTGCAACAGATCCTGTGTCTGGTTAATCAAAGCAACTTACAACTCTATGATGCTCATAAATATAGCCCTACTAATTATCCAGATATTATTGTTTTTCAAACATGACTGGAACAATTTGTTTTAAGAGTAATACACTAATTGATTTTTATTGTGCTGTTGAGCCTGAAATCAATAGCAAATCTAAAGGTCACAAATATCTGTGGGAATTGACCAAAAACATGACCCGAGATAATATCAGTTAATTATTAGATGAAAGAGAAATCGGTCCATCTCGATTGGTTTAAACCCTTGAAGTTTGATGATGAATTCAAATTAAGGAGCAACTCTCTCACTGATCAGTTCAATCAGACATGTTCAAATTAGTTTGTGTACAAAATTTGAGACAGAAAAATCAATCTATTTGAGAACCAACCTAAGTAGGCTGCTGCTTGGACTTTAAAGATACGTTCCCGCATACAAACTGGGTGATTTGATGATGTATTTGGACTAAAAACATATTCAAACTAATTATTCTATCAAAATTTTGCTTGAAATCCTTCTCAAAACAATGTTTACGCGAGGGAATACCTCCGCTATAAAAAATCTATTAAAAGAGGCCATGTTTGAGTCACTAGACTTCGCTGACGAACTACCTAGCAACGTGTGCGAAGTTGGAGGAGAATTCATTGCATACGCATAAATATCGAAGCCTAATTAAATTCCCGGATTATCCACTGCCCATGTCTTTTTCCGTGATTTTTATTTCAGAAAGTGTTGTACGTCTAACTCTTTATAAATTTGATCAACATGTACATCAAGCAACCTTTGACGTCACGCGAGCAGACATTCCTTATCGTCAGGCTGTCAATTAGGAAAAACCTTACATTTTTGTCCTGTATTTGCTCCATGAGTGTTTTTCAGGGAATCTAGTATTTTTCTAGTAAGATTGGATATTTCTACTTTCCATATATACCAAAATTGCCATACTTTTATTGGAAATAACCACCCGATAAATACCCGATATCACATTTTGAATATAATATGCATACTATATAAAATTTATTGCATTTATTTTCTTGTTGGAGGTTATAATGTCCCTGTAAATCAATAGAGTCAAACATTATCTTTATACTTGGACAAACTGGGTACCTTTTGACAACAGCCTTCATAAATTCTTCTATTAATTGATCATAAGCTGGACCTCTCTCTCTTTTCTGTTTCAATCCAATATAAAGTGGATCATTTAATAAAGTCTGTAAAATATCAATTTTATGTAAGACATTATTGAATTTGAAAGTTCTCACACGGATATTCAAAACTATTTATACCAACTTTTTTTTTAGAATTCTTTATTAAATGTCAATTAAACCTAATAGTTAATTCTTAGCTCAATTTTTTTTATTAGCCATTCAATTTTGTAACAGTGTTTAGCCAAGACTGCAATAGTATATTGAAAAAACTGTCCTTGACCTAATTAAACCCCATCAGCATTTCAATATCATGTTATTTTGTGGCTTCTTATGTGCTAAAAATAGCACCACTTTCTCGACGTAAAAAATGACCGGCTGGGAAAATTTTGAAGTGGAAGCCCTGGTATATTCATTATCAGGAAATGAAAGTTAAAACACATTTAGGTGGTGATTGCCCTAACCCCTGCTACTGTCTACTACAGTGCTATAAATGCTCGATTATGGGGTAATGCAATTTGAGATAATCAATACCTATATAACCCATGGTACACTGTATTTACACAGTGAGTGTAGGTCAACAAACTAATCCACATTAGGTGAGCGGACAGATATATTACACCATGGACCTTATATTATAAGGTCCATGATTACACAAAGATATTATTACCTCGTTATTAGTTCCGACATCAATAGTTATAGGTAAACATGTTTGAGGTAGTACTCCTGCTAGTGCTGTATATAATGATAATTTACCAACTGGTATACCCATACCATAGGCTCCTAAATCACCTAACCCTAATATCCTCTCACCATCAGTAACAACTATAGCCTAAAAAATAATAATAAACACATAAAATCAGTTTATTTCTTCTAATATTTATTGTGATTTATCATGTAAACTCTATGATTTAGGTCAATTTGGCCAACATTATTTCAAATTTCTGTACAATTAATTTATTGTCGATTTGTTTACTAGTTCTAGGTTAATTTTTAGCCTTTTAGCAGATGCAAATTTTCAACGAAGACATATGTTCATCCCACAAAACAGATCAACACATAAAATCCAATTTTATTTTTTGACCCACATCAAAGATGCTTAGTCATATTAATTTCATATATTAACCCTAAAAAAAAATTAAAAGTAAATGTACAGATCTTATTTATTTTTAGATACCTGTATTTTTTTATCTAATAAATATAATTTCCTTTAAAATTGTGTGGTAGTAAGCTTAAGTGACTAAGCTATTTTACCAGGTTGGGACAAGACAAGATAACTGAATTCTCAAAATTCCAAAGTCTCTTCATCAAACACTAAAAGGATTATTGATTATTATGACACAACAGTTTTTACTAAAACATTTACTTACTTTAACTTCATCAACAGGCCAATTACACAATATCTCATAAACATGGCCAATATCATGTATAGTAATATAAAGACCCCTGAAATATATAAACATGGCCAATATCATATATAGTAATATAAAGACCTCTAAACTATATAAACATTTCCAACAGATACTATTTCGTTTCGTTTTTTTATTGTTCAAAATTTCATTTTCTTGTCTTTACTATACTAGGATCTGGAAGAGTTGTTATCATTGATGTGTTCTGGATGGTGTTAGCGATTAGCTAATGAAATGATCTGTTACAGCGAGCTTTAGGTGTGTTTTGCATGGTACTGTGGGTAATCCATTAGAAACATCAACGCTGATTGGTTAATCAAATGCCTGACGTTATTGGGTCAAAAGCCGCTCATATGACCTCTGACGTGACCTATCACTATAACTTGTCAGATCTTCATGTAGTGTAGGCCATCGAAAGTATAAAAAAACGAAACGAAATATAGATCTGTACTTTAATCAGATTGCATTTCAAATATCAAGTAATATCAAGACCCCTGAAATATATAAACTATAATATATAGACCCCCGAAATATTTAACAGATTCCATAAATGTGTATGTTTTACACAGTGCCATAATTTGCAAAATTTACTAATGTACAATTATTCAAAATCACCTGTTTTGAGCAAATTTAATGAGAAAATTCTCTCACTTTAAATTTCAGAATATAAAAAATAAAAAACAGACAGACCTGTAAGCTTTTATGAGGGATCAATACATGTATGTATTGCTATTTGCTTTGAAAGAACTAACAAATTTGCATTGAAGGTTAATTAAAGAAAATGAAATTACCTGTACAATGTATGAAGAATGATGAAGGATAATCAATGGACACATTCGTACAGTTTCATTTTATTTAATTAATAATTGTGGTACATTAATTAGAAGTGACAGAAAATTTCAAACAGTTTCGCTTGATGAATAATGACAAGAAAAAATTATGGTGGCAATCAAGTCAGTAAAAGGTTACAGCCATTTAAACCCTACTTTACGCTTCTTTGGACAATATAAATTAATTACCATAACATTCACATGGTTGACAAGATCTAAGAAGATTACTGCTAAAGTGTTGTGAATATATATTAATAATAGTTGATTAAATTAAATAAAATCATAGGTTTCTGCATGTAAATTCAATTAATATTCATTTTATTCTCTTCATATCCACTGTATAGCTTATTATGATAGTTACTTCACATGAATATCAACTAGTACAGCTTTCATTAAAACCATTGATTGGAACTGAGAAATTACCATAAAAATGATTACAACTGTCCACTAACTTGATCAAAAGACATTCCTGGATCATAATAAACTTAGTGAAGTCTTAAGATAAAAGACTCCCAGAATTTAACACCCCTTAGAGAATAAAAAGTGTTTCATATAATGTTACTAACTGTGACATCAACCTTCCATAAATCAGTATTCATTCTTTAATCACTGTTAAGAAATGTTTGAAATTCATATTGAAATACAGAGTACCTAAATTTCTTCAAAAAAGTGAGTAGGAACATTAGTCTATTTGGGAATTCAAAAACAAGTAGCTGGAGATATTGATACTGATGTATTTTTAAATAATTATCAGAAGCAGGTATTACATGTTTCAATGACTTTTAAAGCTTATACATTATACAATTGAGGGTAATAAATAATAAGAACATTTATTTGCGTATTCTTAATGTAGTTCATAAATGTAATTTGTATGATGAGCTGTATATCAGTTTCAGGAAGGAAGACCTGATAGCATGATAGCTAAGTGATAATAAATATTCAGGATGTATTATAATTGTTGATGGCTACATGTCATAATAAAATTGTTAAAGAGACATTGTGCTTACCACAGGGTAATTAAATTTAATTCATTCTAAATAATATCAATCATATTCAAAATAACTTTAGACTCAAGTTATTAATGAAAATCCAACAGAGTGAAGCACATAAATTTTCGGTTAAAAAGACTACATCTCAATGTGAAGACTTTGTAGATTTGTAGCTAATTTTGCATACAAATACTTCAAATTTAATATTATTTCTTTATCTCTTTTACAGCTTGTGATCTGTTCTCAATATATAACTACGATCATCCAGTCAACTTTAAGACAATTTGACTCAAATTAATGTTTATAGCTTTAAATTCTGTAAATGAAATGAAATGTGGTTTAACGTCCTACTGTTTTGTTCCGAACTGGGCTAATGAAGACGGCATAAGCCATACAGTGTGCTATGAGGAAAATTTTGCCCAGACAGCGGCACTACTGCCTACTCTTATATCGAATTCCAAATTTCAAGGGATCTTTTACGTGCAAGCTAATGTGTACATGGGATTTCGGTTTTGTCCCATCCAAATGACTAGACAGCTGTCCTTGTCAGTCCCTCCGTCCTGCATCACTGCCAAGGGGGAACCACGCCGGAAAAATTGCATGAACTTTCTTGACCAATGCTGGGATCTAACACCCAATCTCCAAGCTAGCGAGCCAGCACCTTACCCACTAAGCCACTGTGACCCCCTAAATTCTGTAAGCTTTAGTTATTTAGCATTTTATACTACTGTTACTTTAATGGTCCCATAGGTAGAGCATTGTCATTTTCTATCTGTTCCAATAAATACAACACATCTCAGGATTGCTGTTTAAATTTTAATCATTATCATTCATTAATCCAACATTACCACATCACGCTTTCAAAAATTGGGATACATTAATTACTTGAAAGCATCAAAAGAAAGGCAGGCATATGCTTCCATTGATTAAAGTGAATCAAAAATAACCTGACAATGATAGTGGTAAAAAGTAATCAATGAAAGTAATTCAAGCACTAACATTTTGCTAACTGAAAATGACAGCTTTTCTCTCTAAGATGTGATTGCAAGTATTAAAGTAAATGAATTACGCCAGAAAAGAGTCATGTTCACCTTAGAAAACAACTTCTTTTATTGATCTCAAGAAGAAAATCAAACTGATCACCTCCATACTTGATTTAAATTTGCATTAAAAAACTTTCAGCCACTTTGACGATTCTAAATCAGAAATTAATTCATTAAAGCAAGCACTGATAATGTTATTTTCTTCCATTGTTTTTTAAAACAGTTGACATTTAAGATAAATTATTAAGGAAGTCACCAGATAGTTTCTCTAGGGACTTGAGGTCAATGTTTCCAAAAATAATTTATTCCACTCCTAATTGGCCCAATTTTTTTTCTCTTACAATAAATTTGTTTAACAGAGCAAACATTGACTTCCAGACAGAAAGATCTATATAACCTACCTTGGTTTACGGAAAATCATTCCATATTTTTGACAAGCCAAGCCTACAGTTGGTGTATAGATAATTGGCATCATAAGTTCAACATGTTCTGTAATAACTCGATAAAATAGTTTCTCATTTCTATCTTGTAAAGACATGAGGTAAATATAACGATCAAGATTATTCTCCCAACGATGGAAATTTTGCATGACTTGATAGACCTGGCCATCTTGATCTAGTAATGCTGGTGGTAGTAGACCATGTATGCCCATCAACTGTCTCTCCTTGAGGGTAAAACCCATACCCTGAAATGTCAAGACATGGGTAAAGCTACCGTAGATCAATATTTCACAAAATCAAACCATCTTTGAAATAATTTCAATTGAAAAAACATTAACTTTCATTCAAAACAGTCTTCAATTTTGGTCATCTTTATCTATGGAGGTTTGTTTATTACTATCTGTTGGACCTGTAATACTGTGATAAATAAATAATAATTTATCTTTAATAATGATAAAAATAATCAGCAGAGGATGATTTTAATCCAGTAAGATTAGTAGGATACATGGAGCCTGGGTGGCTCAGTGTGTAACACGTTGACTCACTAACCTGGAGAGGTCCCATGTTCGATCCCGGTATTGGCCGAGAAAGAAAATGAAATGAAATGGAGTTTAACGTCCTACTGTTCTGCTCCTAAACTGGGCTAATGAAGACGGGCATACACCATACAGTGTGCTATGAGGGAAATTTTGCCCAGGGAGCGGCACTACGCCCTACTCTTATATCGAATTCTAATTGCCAAGGGATCTTTTATGTGCACGCCAATGGGACCTCGGTTTTTCTTCCCATCCGAACGACTAGACAGCTGTCCTTGTCAGGCCCTCCGTCCTGCATCACTGACAAGGGAATTTCCCAGAATGGTTCTCCCTTGTCAGTAGTGCAGGACAGAAGGCCTGGCAAGGGACAATGTTAATAGTCATTTGGATGGGACAAAAACTAAGGTTCTGTTGTGGACACATTGGTGTACAAGTAAAAGATCCCTTGACATTTGGAATTCGATATATAACAGTAGGCCGTAGCAGCACCACTGTCTGGGCAAAATTTTCCTCATAGCACTGTATGCGTATGTAACTCATCTTCTTTGACACAGTCGACACAGAACAGTAGGATGTTAAATCCCATTTCATTGAAAAAAATTAAATCACACTAACGGTGTAGATCCGTCACTGTGATTTATGTCACTGTCCTGGCAAAATTTTTTTCTGCATACAACCATAAATAAATGACATTTTTAAGTTTTCACAATCAGCTGTTTGTACCGTATTCATGATGTGATAGTAAAGCAATATGACACAGCATTTTATTGAAAGCTTTGATAGTAAACCAAATACTACTTCAGTACACTAAATGAAAGCCGGTAAGCAGGCTGTTGACTAGTCAGCAAAATAGCTGTTTTTAAAAATTAATATAAACATTATGCAGAATTAAATGAAAATATCAACAAAATTACGTTTTTAAACAAAGTAGGCCTAATTTGTGTTGGAAGTGATTTATCACTTTAGTTTTCCATAGCCATCAATAAAATGATTTCCTGATTCGGACGAAATTTATTTCCTAGATTCCTACTCCTAGATCTAATAAATATAAAATAGTAAATAATATTCTTTACCTTATTCAGATGTGGATCCCTCATTACATCGATGCCTCGCACTTTCAGTCTATTCGCATAATGCCTTCCCTTTTCTGTAGAACCTATAGCAGACGACGATTTTTCAGCCATGTTGGTGGTATCTGTGAGTTGATTTAATGACAACCTGATTCAGCATGTCACTCTCATCCTACACTCCTTTTGTAAACAGGCGATTGTCACGTGACATGGTGTATTATAAGGTCTCGTGCGTCACTTTCCATTCGATCTTATCCATCGGGCAATACGTCATTATCTCATACCGATTCAGGATTTAGTTCCTTGAAATACACCGATTGCGGAAAATGTTATAAATAAAAAACTTTATATATTTTTATAAACCTATATCGGTAAATCTCTTTGATCTTTGGGGTATATAATATGCTCGGGATAACTTGCGGTCTGAAAGTCGGGAGCGGCTCTGAATAATTTATACAGGAGGAGAATTTGGGTTTAGGCTATTCTTTTGAAAGTTTTTCTTTAAACCTGTAACGGGTTATTCTTCTATGGTAGGTTTTTATTTTCCATAAGAAAACATTATATTATAAGGTTTTTCTTACTGGAATTCTGTGATATTCTCATTTCACGTACACGTAAACATAGACGGTATAAGCAAGATAAAGTCCTCGGCTTCGGTTATAATACTGGGGAAGAAAGACTTCTGAAAAAAACCCTCGAAAGAAAAACCGAGGTCTTTCGGCCTCGGTTTTTCTTTTTCTCGGGTTTTTTTCTTCAGTTTTTCTTTCCCAAGCATAACCTCAGTTTCGCGCTTTATCCTACATCTTACACATAATTACATGCCCTAAATATCCAGACGCGTGTCCAAGCCGGAAGGGGGGGGGGGGGGGGCGGGGAGCTCACTCACTCCACTTTTACATGTATGCACCTAAATGGTACAGAAATATTGTCTCAAAGCTTCTGATTTGATCAAGTTCGCGGATATTTCCCCCGACCTAACGCCAAACTTTATTACGAGGTCTCCCCCTTTGAACCCCCGCTACTCAATTTCCTGGACACGCCCCTGATATCCGTTTTCAAACGCCGTCATTACCGGTATTTCATAATTTTAGGCTAGTTATTTTACGCATCATGAGACAAGTTTGCGATATGAATATTTTTTTTCTGTCGGTGGAAAGGTGTGACGACTTGTAAGCAAAGCGAAGTAGGAAAATGACTTGGCCCTATAGGTTAAAACTGTATGATCTACATGTAGGCCTATATAAGTCTATCATGTGGACAGGTTGAAAAAATGACTGGAAATTAAGAAATTGAGTAAATTTATTGTTTTTAATCTACATCTAAACAAATTTATTTCTTTACAGTTATCATAATAACAGCAGACTAAACCTACTTTGCAACAATGTCAATGTGAAGGCTAATTGCTATTATACAAAGTAGACTAAAAGTATCGTTCCATCGAACAAGACCCTGCTGGTTTCCTTTTATAGCAAATAATGGTTTTCTATGTTTCTCGCGAGGAATAGATGCAAGTAATTATCTCTGAACTTTTAAGGATTTTCTGTCTAGAAAATGATGATAGCACCACCCTGTTGCCGATTCACTTTAAACGTCTGACGCATTCTCTATTTTAGCGCGGGAATTGTTTGAGTGGTCCCTGTTTAGTATGAAGACGTTATTGTTGATAAAGATTCCAGAAATCTTGAAATACATAATACTTCCCTTTATTACCCTATGTATGTTGACCAATTAATTTAATAAACTTATACAATAATATCTGATACTGCAATTTATTGATTCCGAAGTTATAGAACTCAAAACAGGGCGTATCATGTGGGAGTGGTGGATTTTCTCCGAGTCCTCCGGATATGTCTCACTGCTAAAGACTATTACGTACGCACAAGTGAATAATTGAAATACCATTTTTTGTCCCATCCGAACGACTATCACTCCGTCCTGCACAGCGCACCACTGACAAGGGGAAACACGCCGGAAAATACCGAAGGGCTTTCTCGGCCAACACCGGGAGCGGACACGAGACCGACTGGTTAGCGAACCAGTGTCTTACTCACTGACCCACGGTGGCTCCCCAGTAATAATGGAAACAGGACAAAATACAAATTCAAACTACAACATTTAAGAAATAAGTCATTTTTATACGCCCATATGTAGACGTGTATTGTCATCGCCCATGTCCGTCCACTGTTATCCGATTTTGAGGAAACTTGAAATATAGGTCTATATCCCAAAGAAATCAGTTCCTTTCGATCATAACTTCATGGCCCCTGAATGTACGTTTTTGGCTTGTGGACACTCTAGAGTTTACAATTATCATTTGATTTTAATGAAACTTGAAATGCATGTTTATAACCCATAGATCTCGGTTCCTTTCGATATTCGCGCCTTATAGAGCATAACTTCCTGGATTATGGTCCCCGATTGTACGAAAAATCACGTTTTCAGCTTGTAGTCCCTCTAGAGGTCACAATTTTTATCCGATTTTAAAAAACGGTTAAATGTATCACCGTTACACCCTAATGACGGTTGAGTTCGAATTTCGTAAAAATCGGACTGAAAATTCCTGACAAAATGGCCGCTTCTTGTACGCAAATAGTCTAAAAGTATGTAATACCCAGGTTGTGGAACCAAGAGGTCACAATTTTGATCCGATTTTGATGAAACTAATATCCAAACGATCCTGGTCCCTGTCGATATTCGCCCACATCGGACCGTAACATCCTGGATTATGATCCCTGATTGTACTTCACCTTGTGGACTCTCTAATGGTTTTAGTTTTTGTCTGATTTTAAAAAGCATATTTCTCAGTTATACCCTGATGATGGTTGAGTTCGAACGCAAAGTTTGTAAAAGTATGTAATACCATGCAAGGTTGCATATTCCTGAAGCAATGGCCCGAGAAAGGTCTAATCAAACGAAACACTGCGAGGAGTATGGCAAGGTTGCGGTCCTGCTAGAGGTCACAATTTCTGTCCGATTTTGATGAAACTTAAAATATATGTTTTTATCTCAAAAATCTTAGTTCCTTTGGATATTTGCACATATCAGACCATAACTTCCTGGATCATGGACCCTGATCATTCTAAACCAGCGGGCGCCTTTACAGAACGCTAAAATGAAACATATTTTGAACTCGTCCAACAGAACATAATGGGTTTTTTTTAAACAAAATGATACTAAGCGTTCAAATCCGAACAGATTTATACGTCTGTCGTTCAGCACAGAACACAAAATGAAACAGATTTTGAACACGAGAACGCGTCCATTTGCGGTTTACCAACACTAAGTGTTCAGTTTCATTGTACTGGATTAGCTGCTATATAGAACTACAATGAACGCAGGAAAAATAATCGATCTACATCTTACAAAACAGGTTTTTTACAAGTTATCATCGCAAATAAAAATCCCACAGAAGTCATCTTCCTTTCTTGGTACTTGTACAAATGTAGCTGTTCCCCCTTGTTATGAGTGACCTCTCAATGTCTGAACTTTCATATCCCTGAAATTAGGAAAAACGAAAATCTGTAAACAAAAATACATACACTACCCTGTGGCTGACAATTAAGGCTGAAGCAAGCTGACAGACGCCCCCCCCCCCCCGCCACCTCTCCCACCAACTTTGGCTACGGGCCTGTTCACAAGGGTGGCCACATGAATTTTCAAAAGGGATGGAGGTTCAGCCAACCCAAAGTCTCATCGAGCGTATCGAGGACATCATATTTGGTGACACTTTCAAGCGATTATGTATAGAGAAAAAAACACAAGGCAAAGTCGACTAGAAATGACATTCGTTGCATTAAAAGAGTTTGTTACATTCGTTGTTGCAGTTTCATATGTTCACACAATATTTCCAACAAAGAGATGCAAGAAATGAAAAACAGCTAAGTTCAAAGCGGAGCGAACTCAATAATTGTATTTTAGGTCTTTGAAGCTTAATAATTACAAATATACTTTTCATGTTTTTATATAATAAACGATATTATATTTAATATATCTCATGAAATTTTGTGTAATTGCCACTCAGTTGTATGTATAAAGACTGCAAGATCAGTATCCAAACGGCCAATTAAATTCATCGAAACATGAAATAGACAAAATTTATGTTTATATAATGACATGCCAAGCGGGGCGATGCGAACAACTTTATTAAAAATGAAAATTACACTTTAATCTTCCAGGTGACCGGCCTACGTCTGGGGTCTTATTTAAAGGGCCAATCGCGATTATATTTTGGAGAATAAAACTGCTTAACTTTGTGTTAAAAGGCCTTAAAATCCTCTACCTTTGGGCCGATCAACTAACTCAATATACATGATACGTTTTCAAACAACTTAAACCCGTCAGTCTTCATCTGGAAACGGAGACCGGTGCCCCAAGCAGTATACGGTGTCTGGATAAAACCAGACTTTTATTTTATAAAAATAACGTGTAGGTGAAATGTACCTTTCGTTATCAAGTACAGCACGTGGGCATTCACTGTATATATCTCTAAAGGAACGGCAATAGATTACCAGGTCACCTAAGGAAAAAAATTGAATCGAATCCTTAAAAGGGTTTTGACATTGACGTCAAAACGGCTCAATATATCGAACTGAAATTTTGAGACAAGGTAAATACACCATTCCTCTATATTTTGGCGCTTAAATTTCATACGTACACTTTTGTTTCTGAGACTCTGTTAAAATCCGGGATGTTCCCTTTAAATATAAATATTGCAAGTTTATACAAAATCGACAAATAATGATAAATTCGGATGTTAATCGGAGAGAATTTTCTATTGTAGTGAAGACAATTACACCTTCACACCTCGCCATTGTAAACTCAACTAGGTCGCTTCTGGGAAATATGACGGATAATTACTGAAATTCACTGTCCCAATACTAAAAATTTCTACAATACCAAAAATTTCATACTCTAATTTACTTTGAAAACTCAACTAGGTCGCCTCTGGGAAATATGACGGATAACTACTGAAATTCACTGTCCCAATACTAAAAATTTCTACAATACCAAAAATTTCATACTCTAATTTATATGGATGTCTTTTTACACGGACCCGCTTTTTCTCCATGCTTGTACACCCTAATGATCCCTTTGAACCCCACGTTGGGAAACACGGTTCTCCAACACAATGTCATGTTTTTGTAATCTAGGCTACTTCCTGTAACTGGTCCCTTTCGTCAATGATAAACAAAAACTCTTTAATCAATCATTATATGAAATCAGTGATTAATATGTTTGATTTACAATCAAATTTCAAAACTTAATTTTAATCGTTGACGAAAAAAATTTCTAATCTAAGATTAGCTAATCGGACTTTTCAGAATGCCAAAGTTAGTCAACTACTACTAATATCTAATTAGCTTGTTACTGATTAGACCTAATCACAAATTTTTTTAGACACTTTTCGAAAATATGGCCTTTAAATGCAAGCTGACAGTTTTAATAATTTTCTACGAACAACTTAGCTTTTAATTAGAAAATTTGACGGTGAATGTTGGATGACGCAAGGTGTTCATGGATAGGGCCTTTTAAAAACATCTCAAACGACGTCATCGTCATATGTACGTGTTCTGTAATACTTAAAGATACATTATGGGAGATTCGATAACGAGTTGGCAGTTAATTCTCACTATAATAGTTAAAAACTAGGTAATGTAAAGGCAATTTGCTAAAAAATTTCATTCAAATTGATCCACTATGAACCGAGAACAAAGCGATTGAATTTCCGCCTAGCCTTGATCATCATTACTAAAGTCAGTACGATAAACAGCATAGTCTCGATTATCCACTTAATCGTTAAATCGTGAAGGAAAGTTATGCAGTAAATTGGCTCACAATCCACTAAAGATCGCAGGCTAGCGATGCCATGAGTTGATTATGGTCTGGATATGTTAATTAATGCCTAATTATAATTAAGATAACATTTCATGCCAAAAGAACGATCTGCAATTTAGACGTCACAAATTTAACTCTTGCATAATGTATTTTTAAATATTTAAACTTGAATGTGTTCACAATCGAACAGTCTGTGTTTAGGGCCTACTATAATTCACACTGAACACTCGGCTTCATAATTCCATGTCATAGGCTTATATATAAGGAACGCTCTGTGTTCCCTTTTTAATTTTTAATGGCCGTACGTGTTAACACAGAGGTCATTGACACTACGATCAGGGGCACCGGAACGGCGGGGCAATGGGTGTAAATAATGCCCCGCTGTTCCTACAGTTTTGCCGATGAAAGGTATTTCGGCAATATCTTTTTCTAAACAGAATGTGGGTCTACTCTGCTGGCATATCATGACTAAGCTAGCCTATAACTCTCTTACATTCAGGCATAAAATTAATCTGAACCAAACCCCTATTCAGAAGATAAATGTTGCATCAATTGTAGGTTAAGTTTCATCTAGGCCTACAGTCACAGAGAGTCAAAAATGATTGAGATTACAATGTTTGGATTACTTACTGATAGCAAACGGTTCATTCTGATAGTAGAGGATATGATCGAAAGGTCTTATCTTAATCCATATCATTCAAGATTAATGTTACTAATAAAGAACAATACATAATGTTAGGATTATACGTATGTGTAGTATGCATGCTACGAAAAAGTAAAGTGATCGAGACCGCCGATTTTATAACGGTGAATGTTAACCTCCAATCGTGTGGGGTATCTAGAAACCACAACGTCACGCACGAGTGGGATTGATCCGAGGCCGAATATTTGTGTGTGTCAGTCTGACAAAATGAGTGCTTCTGTAACGGTGGTTTCGTATGAGAGTTCCTGATAATGGTAGACCAAATTAAATGGCTCAAATACCAACATTATGTGAAGTGTCTTATGATTCCGAATGGCTAGCAGATGATTACTTTTATACACCATTCAGACTTCCAAGCGCCGACTTTGGTAAACATCCCAAAACATTTTCGCCACAGTTTTTCTATCCTCGACCTTCTCAGAATCTTTCTGGCAAAAATGATGTTTTATCAGAATTCGAAGAAAAGAATAGGGAGACCACACAACATAATACATACTTTGAATATTTACGAGATTATTACATTGAAAACAGTTCGTCTCCTTTGACGTATGTAAGTATTAAAATGAGTAAAGTAAGGTAAGCCTACAGTGGGGTGGTGTGAAAGACAGAAACACAAATGCCAGCCAAAACTTGGCAAAAGGAAAATAACAGAATAGTGTAGATCTATATCTATTTCATATTTTTTTTTAAAAAGAGAAATATTTCTTGGTCACAAATATAAGCCTATGTATGTTTTCCATCATTGTGATTTAAACTAAAGGAACAGTCTTCAAAAAAGTAGTCTTCTTGGATTTGCTCCTGGTTGTTGGTGGAGAAGGTTTCTCAGAATTTTCTGGCATGGTCTTCCGTTTTCAGTTGTACAGTGGTGCTTACAAAGAACAATGTCTAGTTGTACGAATAGAACATAGAGAAGGGGTCCTATATGCAGGCCTACATGTTGGTTTAGCATGCACAAAGAACCCTTGACAGTTGGAATTCAGACAAATTTCTAATAATCATGCTTGTCTTTATTAGCCATTTTCATTTCATTTGAAAAATCAGTCTATGTTGTGAGATATGTGTTTGAACCACATGCACTTGTTTACTGAGTGGAAACTACTTTTAAAAAATAAAATTAGGCGGAAGCTAAAATTACGTACATATTCACAAGTGATTTAAATTCAGGTTCAAATAACTTGTCTGAAAACGTTTCGTAATCACTCAGTAGAAATACTAAAGGTATGGTAAGAAAAACATAGACAATCTGTATAATTTTCTCCAATACAAACATCATTCAGCCAACACATTTTTACATGATTGTTCTCTATGATCATTGTACTTTCTTACAAGACCAATTCCTCCACAAAAATATGTGGATATGAAATAATTCCGTGTTTTTGTGAAAAAATGCAATTTATTTTACATAAACAGGTGGGGTGGGATCAATTGACAGCTATTATGCGTTTTTGGAGTCACTTGCATAGGCACCATTATTGATCATTCTATAAGCTTAGTCAATAAACCTTGAAATGTTTTGTTGATTTTGAACTTAGTAGAATTAGAAGCACTGTTTTCAGCAGGCTTTTATTTATTAACTGTGGTGCTGAAAGTCCCTAAATTTTATTTACCAAAGAATGATAGTTATCTGTATCGTTATTAAGCTTTCCAAGGGTTAAGATAAGATAAGTTAAGATAATGAAGGCAAGAAATATGACTTGTCAATGGGAAATAGAATTTAAACAATTTTAGAGCAAAATGTGCTAAAAAATGCCAAATGTTCTTAGGGTCCTAACAGAATTTTGGCGCATTCTCTGCCCCACCCCTGGATAATACAGCACTTGTCATAAATAATTACTGAAAACAACCAATTACATGTACCTACAATATTTAATATCACATTCGCCTATAATATTCTGTTTAGAATAATTTAAGCTTAAGGGAATGGGGCTGGCTACATCGCCATACATGTATGATGTAGCACTAAACTGACCAATAAAACCAATATAACCAAATTTTCTTTTGGGTGCCTTCCTGCTTTAGATAGCAATCGCAAACCTCTATGTGTTTGGTATTTTTTAACAGGTCTACATCTTATTGTCAATTTTTTGTATCAGTTTCAGTCTTCGCCTAGAAATAGGGTAAGCCATGTGTTCAAAATAATTGCATGTACTTATGTTTTGCACCTTGATAGCACATTTTTTATGCATGAATCACCTACCAAATCATTTGTTATTATTGTCTCGTTGTTGAGGAGCGTTGCCGTTTCACCTCTATTTTTCCAATTCAGTTATTTGTGATATTGAAAATAAAATGGTTGAAATAACATTAATTCATCTGATCAAGACCTACAGTTATAAAGGTTTTTCTGTTAAAAGTACTAATCCAATTCGTATCTGATTTGTTACTGATTTCAGCCTTCACTGAATTCAGTAACAAAGTGACCAGGTCCTAAATATCTGAAATAGCATGTAGATTGAAATATGAAGTTTACACTTTGCTCAAAGAGATATTGTTTGGCATTCCTGATTCTGAACAAATCTACACAATCTTATTTGTTCAAATCCAATCTAAATAAAACACAGATCCTATTTCGTTTCGTTTTTTATTGTTCAAAATTTCGTTTTACTTGTCTTTACTACACTAGGATCTGGAAGAGTTGTTATCATTGACATGTTCTGGATGATGTGAGGGATTAGCCAATGAAACAGTCTGTTACGGCGAGCTTTTGTCTTGAAGTGCACGGAACTATGGGTAATCCACTAGAAACATCAATACTGATTGGTTAATCAAATGTCTGACGTCATAGGGTCAAAAGCTGTTTGTATGACCTTTGACGTGACCCCCCAAAACAACTAGTCAGATCTTCATGTAGTGTAGGCCATCGAAAGTATAAGACAAAAGAAACAAAATTTAGATCTGTATTTTAATCAGATTGGTTCAAATCGACACTTATGTTTTAGTTTTACCATATTCAACGAGATCTGCCATTTTAAATAAAATATTTGATCAGAAAGTCATAAATGTTTATTTATTTTCATTGATATTCCAAGGGCATTGCTAGGTCTGATTCTGGTGTAGTGGGAGGGTGGTGGTAGGAACTTGGTGCGTATAAGCCATGTCAGTGAATATTTTCTGTATTCTGAAAACATAGTCATAAACTTGGAGCTACCATCACAAGAAAAGTAAAGTATTTTTCACTATACCAAGTGGAGAGAGAGAAATGGGGTTTAACGTCCATTTGACACAAACTAGGTCATTTCGGGACTAACACATGATTCAAATTTATTGCAATAATTTGCTTGCGCGTAGGGGTCTTTAGCAGTGGGGGGAAACCGGAGGACCCAGAGAAAACCCACAAGGTTGGACAGGCGACCTTACTCCTTGTCACGTACAACCAGGGAATGTGGAACTTATTTTCAGCATAACTATGCTTCTGTATAAATTTTATTTTTATGTCATAGTATTTGTAAGATTGTACTGTGATTATGTAGGGTCTGTTGTATGGATTATTTCTGGTTGATTAGCATCCACAGGATCAATGTGTAATTTCAATGTAATAGTAAACCAACCAAGAATAATAATGATTGCCACTGGCAGAAGAATTCCTATACTTTATAATAAAGAAATAGATGTATAGTGTCAATTGAATTAATGCACTCAGTAGTAAGATGTTGTTAAAGTTTGCCAGCAGAATAATAATTAGGTAATAATTTATTACAGGGAGGAACTGTTGCTAGTCCACAATTACCATCAAGATCTCATTTAACCATACCAGCTCGATTTTATCCTACTTTTGATGGATGTATATCGCCAATAGTTCATCATGATCACAACAAACTACCACGGTCATTACCAGCAGTATCACGATCAGCGCAATATCCCGACGCAGAACATCCAACTACTGAACGAAACAACTTAGTCTGGATAGATACTTTGAAATCTTGGGTGCCTATGAAAAAGGTAATATTGGTATTCTATATTTTGAAAGTTCTTATTCTTTTTTCTATTCTTGAATATTAAACATACATTATGCAAGAGCTAAATCTGTCAATGGCAAGTCTTTCTTTAGGCCTGAAATATTATCTAAATTATTAATTAGACTTTAATTAACTTATCCAGACCATAATCAACTCTCGATGGCATCGCTAACTTGCGATATTTACTGAATTAGAAGCCGGTATCCTGCTTCTGATTAAATCAAAAAATGGATAATTGATACTATGTTTTTTTTATCATACCGACTTTAGTAATGATGATCAAGGCTAGGCCCAAAATTCAATCGCTAAATACTTGGTTCAGGGTGGATCAGTTTGACTGAAATTTTCAGCAAATTCCCTTTACATTATCTAGTTTTTAGCTATTATAGTGAGAACTACATGTACCAGCTCTTTATCTGATCTTCCATAATGTATCTTTAATTGAAACTTATAATACCAATCATGTCTAATGAATTTCCAAAATTATACCTGTAACCTGTATAATAATGCTTGAAATACAAACTGATCAGTATGGAGTATCAAATCTAGAAGAATCACATGAAATTCAAGATGACTATCTCAATGGATGTCAGTAGTGTTTTGAAATTTTTTAACCACAGTGTTAATTATCAAAAAAGTATTTTTGCTCAATTGATAAGCAATCTCAATAACTTACTACATGTATGTTTGTATGAATACAATTTTCCAGACTGGTTTCCCTTAGTCAGAGGTGCAGAAGGGGTGGTCTAGCAATTAAAAGCACCTAGTCATTTGGATGGGACGCAAAATTGATGTCCCATGTATTTGAATAAGGGTGGTCGGAAACGCCACTGTCCAGAAAAAATTTCCCTCATAGGACAATGCATGGAGAATATCCGTCTCCATTAGGCCAGTTGGTGTAGAAGAGTAGGATATTAAACCCCATATCATTTTACAAGTACTGCAATTCAAATAAGGTTTAAAAAAAATCACTCCATTGATTAGCAACTTACAAGTTGCCCTGTAGAAATATATATTAAACAGTTAAATGTCATATGACTATGATTACCAGAAAAATGTTAATGTAAAAGAATTTCACTTCTCGGATGGCCAATGGGGTAATCTGTCTCTAAAACAGAAAGCTTCAATATTTGTATAGGTATGAAGATATTTTTTTTATGACGTCCCACACAGAGTTGATAAGATTTATAGACATACTCAACACACTGTTTAGAATGATATTGACACTTCGAAAATAGACAGTCTTATAAGTTGCCAGGATTTAAATCGTGAGTGACACCTGAAAATGTCAACATCACTACAGTGAAAGTACTTTCTTTGTTGTGTAAGTTGCTCTTGAATTATATGGAGTTGATAGTTTTATTGCACATATTAGTTTTAATTAAGGGGGATTTTTATCCATTTGTTCATTATCATGTGACAATAGAACATCTGCCATTGATTTGGATTTTCTTTGCACCATCGACAAGCAGATCTTGATCAACCAAAGAATTTGTGTATTGTAAGGTGGACAAAAAGAAGTAAATATTGTTCCATAGTTTTTGAGCTTCAAAGTGGATATAATTGGTTATAATTTCTGATTTGGAAAATAGAAACTTTTAATCTGAATTAAGTTACAAAGTAATTTTTTTAAACAATTAACTGTGGATATGAATGTTTGCCATATGATAGCTACTGTACATAATGATTTTGGATTTTTTATTCTTGTATCACATGGATGACATGGTTACAATAATAATACGATTTGTTTATCACAACGTGAATGATAAAAGTTTTTGAAGGAAAAAGCTGAGGAGCTTTGTGCAAAATTGAAGTTATTTTTGGATTATATTTATATATTTAATAAATTCCAACAAGATGAATGGGATGGAACGGGAATCCACTATGATAAAGAAGAAGCCATTTATGGGACATTTATATGCAAAACCTACTACACCCCAAGCAACTCCCAGATCTAAAACTTTGATCGACTTTAGTTTAGAAGGAAAACATATGACAACCATGATGGACTTTCCCAGGAGTAACACAACTCCTATCTTGGATACCAAGTTTAAGAAATCACTAGAAATGTTGGAATGTAATGATGACAATAAAGAAGAGACTATTGATAATGTAGGTGTCATCTTGAATCAAATAAACTTGCTTTCTAATCTGTCTAAATATTCTAAGCAAATCTGTGTTACATTCTGCTATCTTTGTGAACTTGGCAAATATTGTTCCAAGAAAAATGGTATCCAGTGTTCTAGGGAGAGTAAGTATACCATGCCTCTTGCATAATCAGATGTAAGGTGTGAGTGAAATAGTGCAGCTATATTCACTTTGTGGCTTTAAAGATGTCTTCCCGTGTACAAACGTGTGATTTGATGATATATTTAGAGTAAAAACATATTCAAATTAATTTATCTAACATTATAATCGGATGAAAACAATCCCATGCTAGTTTGTCACATGACTTGATTGAGGAAGAACTCATTGTCAGCTTGTATTTGTTGCTAGTCGCTGTCCATTTAACATAAATTCTTGAATTATCCTCTGCCAACTTCTTTTTCTGCCATTCAGTCACATAATCTGCTGGACGCTTAAATCTCTCTATGTTCTAACGTCACTCGAGCAAACAGCCTGCCACTTCATGACACTCTTATATTTTTGTCCTGTGGGCACCCAAGGTTGTTTTTATTTTTTCAGGGAATCTTGTATTTTTCTAGTAAGATTGAGTGTCTCTACTTTCCATATGTCATACTTTTATTTGAAATAGATACCCTATAAATACTTTTGTGGGAATGTATCTTTAAAGATATTTAAATCTACCCTGATACTGAAAGGGGAGAATAATCATAAGACATAGGCCATGTTTTCTTACTTGAAGTCTTTTCTTCTGAAGGATTTGGATTTTGAGCCATTTCCTAACCTTTTAGAACTCGAAGAATATTTTTTAATTCATTCATTAGAATCACTAGCATTTGGATATTCTACTTTGATCTTCAAGTCTATTATAAGATTATTTTTCACTGTTTCAACTTCTGTTATTGAATATTGTGTAATGAGTGTCGTAAATAATGATAATGTACAATGTTCTACTCAACAAAAATAGATTACTAGTTCATTAGTAGTCTGTTGATGTGATAATAATTGACCAGAACATGAACTTAATAGGCAAAAAAATAAAATGGTTTCAGGGCAATTATACTTTCATTTTATATTTGAGGCAAAGATTAAACATACAGTATGCAAGAGCCAAATTTGCCTATTTCAAGTCTTTCTCTAGGCTGAAATGTCTATATTATTGATTAGACATTAATTAACTTATCCAGACCATAATCAACTCTAGATGTCATCGCTAGCCTGCGATAGGATCCGATTTGCTAGTCAACTTTCATTCATGATTTAATCGTGAAATGGATAATCGAGACTATGTTTTTTATCATACCGACTTTAGTAATGATGATCGAGGCTAGGCCGAAAATTCAGTCGCCAAATTCTCAGTTCAGATTGGATCAATTTGACTGAAATTTTCAGGAAATGCCCTTAACATTATCTGGTTTTTAACTATTATAGTGAGAACTGCCAGCTCTTTTTCTAATCTCCCATAATGTATCTTTAAGTAGAATGTAGAATTTGCATTTGACAATACAAGTGGTTGGGGGCCATGTAATAGGGGAGGAAATCTATGGACAGGTTGGCATGTTGTCTTGTTTTGAATGCTGCAGTTTTTTTGGTCTCTTAGTCTTATATTCATTTTTCAGCTACACCACTGAAATCACTAGACACTGTACAGATTATATTTTCTTATGTGAAAGCTCTATCAACCATTTCAAAGTCATTATTATAGAATGTATGATTGTTAACAGATTTGTAGGATTAATAATGTGGACATACTAAGGGTATTGTTATGACTATTATTATAATAATAGATAATCTTGAATAGCTTTTTACTTCACTCTTCACTGATTTGTTCTTTCACTTAATACTGTAGACAAACAGTTTCATGTTACCCCATTTTCTTTGACAACATTATTATAGTGTGCATGTGGGCTTTGGCACCAGTATTTAGTGTATATTTATATTCTTTAAATGGTTGTGACTATAATAAATAACAATGTACATATTGACAATAACACAAAAGATTTACATATTAAGTAAAATAGTATACTACTGTACAAATGATAGTTTTATGATGTGTAGGCTTAAATTTTATGACTTTATCCTTTCTGTTCATGATCTACACTCAAATTCGATTAATATTAACTTTTTATTTATTTAAAGCTTATATAACGCTTTAAGGCATATCTTTATTATATCATTATAATTCTTAATTCATCTACGTATTATTAATATGGTCAAATTCAATTGTCTTTTTGTCTGGCACAGATTTTTTTTTCTGTGGTTTTAAGAAATGAAATAAAATGGGGTTTAACATCCTCCTAATATTTTCCTCCGATAGGCTAATGAAGACAGGCATACGTCATACTGAGTACTAGGAGGGAAATTTTGCCCAGACAGCGGCACTACGGTCTACTCATATATCGAATTACAACTGCCAAGGAATCTTTGAAGTGCATGCCAAAGTGTAGACGGGACCTTGGTTTTTCATCCCACCTGAACTTTTCTACATTGCCCTCTTGTAAAAGAGAGAGACCCCCCCCCCCCCCAAAAAAAAAAAAATTCCTGATAAACTTTCTCGGGAAACACATGGATCGAATGCAGGGCCTGCTGGTTGGTGCACTAACATCTTACTCACTGAGCCATCGTGGCTCCTCTGTCATTTTAATGGTGCATGTATGTATTTTTTGTGCATGTCTAGCCCAACTTCAATAGTTGCTGACATTTTAGCAATTGCAACTAAAATTGTAATGTATATTATCTTTGGTTGGTACTTCTATTCCGTACTTGTGTCATATTGTATGGCTTCATGATAAGCCATGTTTAACGGAAAGATTGAAAATATGATTGGTATATTTGGAATAAACCATGTAGCATATCTTAGAGTACAGCATTTTACACCTGATTTTAAATGTAACCTCTTAGACTATTATTCCCCCAATGTAAATATATTTTTACATTTCTGTTTATTTCAGTATGAAGAAGGTAAACCATATTTAAGCTTTGTCAACAATCCGCCATATGTAGAGAAACATATTACAGTAACTGAGGTGATTTTCTACTTTTCTTTATGAATTACAACAATGAAAACCTGTTTAGTTTTAATAATGATAATTTAAAACTTCCTTCTTTTAACAAGGTGAGACTGAGAAACTAGAATTTTACACGAATAGGAAAATGTTTAGTGAAAGGAAAACAATCATTAAGGAATATATTGAAAATTTCAGTCAAATTACTTTATTTAGAGCGAAATTATGACTAAAGAATAACATAGTCTCGATTTTCATTGCTACAGAATCTCGAGTATCCATTTTTTAAATTAGATTATTAAATGGCGATCGTGATTCAATCCGTCGAAAATCACCACCATCCGATGGTCTGGACTTGTCATGTGAATAAATAAATGTCTAATAATTTAGATAACATATGAGGCCAAAAGAAAGATTTGCATTTTGCAGATTTAGCTCTTACATAATGCATCTTTAATTAAGAATTTGATGCTACAGAAGACAGCAGATTATCTGGTCATTTTCCGGTATTGGAATGTGTGATTATTACATATTATGATCAGTTTTCTACAATTATAACTTTTTATTTCTTCTTACTAAAATTATCAGGATGTTGTTGATTGTAAGTCTTTTACTTTCTGTCCTTTCAATGCTTTGCATAGATTTTATTTGAACTGGCAAGCATTCTCTGAAACTTATCAGTGATTGGTTTGTTTATTGTCCCATGCGTTTCTAAGAAAGCAGGGGACTATTAAAATGGATTTGTCCATCTATCGTCACACTGTCCGTCACACTGAATGTTCAAACTTGATGTAGGTATCTATCAGGTGAATGCCTTGACTAAGTTCGAACATGAGCATTTTCCACTAATACTAAGCAGAGATAAGCAATTTGATTGGGTGAGACTTGGGAACATGATAACTTTGGCTATAATAGGGTGATAGTGATGAAACTCAGAGTATAGATTCATTATATCAATACCTTGACTAAGTTCGATGATGAGAATTTCTGCTTATTCTAAGTAGTGATAAGCAATTTGATTGCTCAAAACTTTGGAACATAACAACTCTGCTTTTAATTGAGGTATAAATGTTTAAACTTTGTGTAGAGCTAAGCAATTTCATATGTCGATGCTTTGGAACAAGATAACTTTGATTCTAACTTATGGAGAGTGATGAAACTTTGTGTAGAGTTTCACTACCAGGTACTTCAAAACCTTGACTGAGTTCGATCTTGAACATTTTCTGCTTAGACAAAGAATAGATAATCAGTTTGATTGCTCGATACTTTTCAAAAAGATAATGTGTAATTCATTAATAGGTGTCATCTCAATTTATTTTGGGATTGCAGCGGGGGACATCAGCCTCACTGTTGGCTTTTTAGTTTTATCTTAAACTAAAAGTACCTTGTACCGGTAAATGTAGAGAGGAGATTCCATGATTATTAAAAAAAACATTTGGGTCTCAATGGTACTGGAGGTTAAAAATATTATTAAAATTAATGTGAGACCCACCTATCATATTTTAAGTAATATTATAATTATGGCTTCAAATACTCTTGGGAATAGACATAACTTGTTTTCAAATTTGAGTGATGTCTTTGTCACTACAGGCCCGTTACTGTACAGCACAGTGGACGCTTACGGCTGGCCCCCGGATCCATTCACTTGAGTTGATATTTGTTTATTTGGTGCAATGTCTATTTTCTGTCTTGTCCGCAGGTTTTTCTTGTAGATTTTTGTTATGCGTGTAGTGCGGTCCTCCTGCACTTACTAATATAGCAGTAGTATACAAGGCGGTTAAGGTCCACTTCCACTAAAGTCCAAATTTTACTTTAAGAGTTTGTTTTTTTTAAATCATAATAATATTTGTTATCAGGGAAGAAAGACGAAATTACATCATCAATGTACTGGTGAATGTGAAAGATATCATAATCACATGACTAAATACAAGGATATAGTTGAAGACAGACGACATCAGTACCATAATCAAATTAATCCTCGTTTAAAATACTACAGACAAACGGTAGACAATTATCCCATCCATTCATATTGTCACTTTCTTTATTGTTCATATACTATTTTTATATTTTTTTTTTCTTAGTTATTACAGAAAGCAATTAGCTTAGTAGAAATTGTTTGTGTTTTTTTGGTCATTTTTTTTTTTATTATATGCCTATAATGTAGTTGTATATTATTGTTGTTGTTGCGTTTGCCTTACAAGCCTTCTCAGCTTTTACTGTCTAGTTATTGAAGTATGGAAATATTCTGTAAGATAAGATATGATCAGATAAGATTTTATTGTATCGAAACATCCATTTAGGACAGCATACAATATAAACATGTACATATATTTATAACAATATGACAAATAATATTTACAAATAATCTAGCTTATAATATAGATTTGCTAACAGGACAATAGTATGTAAATGACACAGTTTCTAAGATTATTTTTTTTTGTAAAACTTGGTTTTCAAATGGTTATGAGAGAGAATCTTTAGAATGCGAAATGAATGTTCCACCAAATTCTCAAGGTACAAACAATTTGTGACGACATGGTTTCTGTTGGGTTTATGTTTGGTTGCCTGGCAACCTATCATTTTATTCTTTTCCTACCAGTATATTAAGTTGAGTAGGGCTTATTTATGATAACTCAATTTGAATCTTTGTTACATGTAGCATGAGCATGCTTTTACAACTTGTTGAGTATGAAAATATATAACTGTTGCTGTCAGTTGTGTAGCCAGGTCTATTTTAGGGAGGGGGCTAAATCTTCAAACTTAATCCTGTGCACTCCAAAGATCATGTTTTAGGGTGTCACATTCCTGGGCACTGTTTCTCGAAATCTTAACTAAAGATAAAATACTTTAATTTTAATTGGCTAAGCACTAAAATCAATCTAATGTTATCCAATTAAATTACTAAAATTTTGATTTTATCTTAGTTAAAATTTCGTGAAACAGGCCCCTGTTTTTGGGAAGAGGAAGGTGATGACCTGCTTAAACTAATTATGAACTCAACTGGCTACACTGCTGTTTGCAGTAGATTTTCAATTGTATGTGACGCTTTAGATTAATCATTGTTTAACAAGTATAAAGATAATGATTCAGTGATAAAAACAATAATTAGAATAATATTATCACAAGATTAAGTAAATCTTCAGTTGTCTACATTAATTAATTACTATTATCATTTAAGGGAGAATTCCAATCTGAATGTTAATTTATGATCAATGTTCGCAAATTAGGATGGTGAACAATTTAACGAAGCATAATATTTTATTTGAACAAGACAGAACCTGTTATAAAATTTGATAAATAATCTTAAAAAAAAAAATAAAAAAATAATTTCTCTACAGGCTTTAGACAGGAAAGATAGAATTGAAGCAGCAAATAAAAATGAGAAACGATCCCGTAAAGCTTATTCAACTCCACTTTATGATCCAAATAAACACACATGTAGATGTAAGTATTAAACTATTAGATTTTTCATATTTCTTCTAATTTAAACATATATTTGATAACATTTGTGGTGTACCGTATGAAAACTATTTTCTGTGGTATAGCTTACTTGAGTGTGATTGTCAGAATTTTGCCATGCAGTTATATATGGCAACTGTTTTACCTTATTTCGTGAAATACACATAGATTTGGCAGATTATGTTGTTTTGTTTTTTAATTGAATTTGATGAATATAACAGCAAACATGAAAGCAAATTACCAGTAGAGTTTAGCATAGAGACTTAAAGAAACATTATGTAAGATTTAGATAAAGAACTAGCCATTCTTGCTATAATAGTTCGAAAGTAGATGATGTAAAATGAATAATTTGAAAATTTCATTCAAATTACTCTATTGCAAGCGAAGATATTAGCCTTTGAAGGTTTGACAGACGTGTGCAATAATTTCAATCACCGTACTGGTTGATCGAAGCTAAGTCTCGGTCCTCCATATTTGATTAAATCAAAGTATCGCTGAACCATTCTAATCTATTTAATATCGGAGAAATCTGATGCCATCGAGAGTTGATTAAGGCCTGGATCAGTTAATTAATGTCTAATTAATACTTTAGAAAACATTTCAGGCCTAAAGAAAGACCTCCACAGGCAGATTTAGCTCTTGCATAATGTATGTTTAACAAAGTAAGATAATATTCTCTAACTATAATTCAGTTAGTATGGAGAATGTTATCTAATACCTGCTAAGATGTGTTGGATCTGAGAAAATTAAAATTATTGTCAAATTGTAATTTGATTTATATAATTACATTGTGCACATGCATATTTCAACTTCAAATTGCAAAAATTATTGTTTTTTATTTCTATAGTAATGAAATACAATCCACTGTCAGCTCGTGCAACTATAAACTTGAGAAATAATCCAACTCCAGTTTCACGTTCTGATGAACCGACTGAGGAAACCGTTGAAGAAGTGTTTGGAAAAGACACACATGAAGAGAAAGGTAAAATTACATTATCTTTTTTTAAGAAATAAAATTTTCTTTAAAAAAAAAGTGCTGGAATTTATCCTCCAAGCCACCTGCAATTACTAGCAAGAATTTCCTTTTTACCATTTAGTTTAATGTAAATTAACTCAAGAATTTATTCTGTATTAAAGGTGACAATCCTTATATATTTTTATAAATCAGACTAGAATGTGTTAGAATTAAACTATGATCCAAATATGTATGAATTCTTTTACGAAGGACTACAAATGACCATTTTTCAGGTGTGGTCAATGTAAAATCTTGAGACTCTGTGCTACATTTGTGTGTGGATGAAACAGGTCTATACACTTACATAAGTTAAAAAGATTACCCCAATAACAGTGTTTATTAAGTTACACAATGTATCAATCATAAAAGAGAGAGATGGAGTGTAACGTCCATTTGACACAACTAGGTCATTTTGGGACTAACACATTTTTCGATTTCATTTCAATAATTCGCGTGCGCATAGAGGTCTTTAGCAGTGGGAGGAAATCGGAGGACCCAGAGAAAACCCTACTCCTTGTCATATCCAACCAGGGAAACGAAACAAGGCCAATTGACTCAATGACAGACCATTCGGCCATCCAACCCCCCGTATCAATCATAAGCAATGTATGCAAATGGAATCGGGGACAATTCCTTTCAATAAGAAGTTGCCCCATCTTTTGATAATGTTTGTGGATGAATATTTATCTAAAATATTTAGATAAATTTACATTTGTTTGCATAAATTTAGTTACAGAAATTGTACCAGTTGTTAAAGCACCATTTGTAAACCATAATATTAAAACATATACAGAGGTTGAGACAGTTTCTGTTTGTTGTGAGATTATGAGACCTCTATATAAACGTGATAGTCAGGTAGTCTGTGTGGACAGTAATCTAGATGCTATTAAAACTGTTGTCCAAGGTATCACTAGTGTTTCGGTAATAGTCAAACAGGGTAATTATAAAGAACAATATGAGCTGTCATGTCAGATATTTATTTGCATGAAATATTATTATATTTGATGTGCATGACTGTTGGTTGGTATGTTATCCGTAAAACCATCTGTCAAAACTCTGTCGGTGTCATCTGTAAAAATTCTGTTGGTATGTAATCTGTAAAATCTGCTGGTATGTCATCCATTTGGTATAACCCACAAACTTCCTGGGGCCTTTAAATTTAAATATTTTAAGTAAAATGATAGTGCCTTGGCTGAGAACTAAAATCAGAGCACAAATATTAGCTCTTGACCAATGAAAAGACTACATTCTTAAAATATTCTGATTTAACTTTTCATGAATAAGGCCCCAGGTTGTTCAAAATACTCCAGCTTGAATCATCAGCTTCTTAAAAAGCTCTTTATTGGCTACCCTTTAAATCAAAAATAGATTTAAAGTTGTTATGCCCTGCATTCAAGTGTTCTATGTCATCACCATATTTTCTTCTAGTTCTAAAATTTAACTCAGATCATTTGGATATCTATGGTCGTCAGTTTAATTTTCAGTCGTTACCCCTGAAAATTAAACTATCATCAAGCCTAAAAACTTCAAAAACTGCTAAAAACTCATCTATTGACCTAGTATTATATCACCTTTAGCATGCATACTAGCATGGAACTGTGCTCTGTATAAATGTACATATTGTTATTTTTATCCATATATATTTGTTTGTCGTCTGTAATAATTATGTTTCCTTATAATAGGAAATTTAAAAAGCTAAATATATTGTATCTTGTGAAGGCAAAGATAATACATTTATGTATTAAAATATGAATGAGGAAGAAATGTCTTGGCAAAAAACAAGTTTTATCTAAGGCCAATAATTTGAATAACAAATAGTATTATTCATACTACAATCACAATAATTTCAGTTTGATTTAAGAATTATATTGGAAAATATTTGAAAAAATATTGTAACATAATTTGAAGATATTATTTTTAAATGTACTTAAGTATTAAATGTTTTGGTTACATTAATGTGATTTCAAATTACATCTTAAGATGCAACAAATTATTTTTTTTTCTTATTTGATAATTTCTTATTGTTTTACATGAGCAACAAAGAATTTAGGCTATTGAGTCTTTAACAATAATTCTTGTTTTTAGGATTGTGGAAAATTTAAGATTATGTGAAAATCAGAGAATTATTTTAACTAAATGTGTGCTGTTTTTATGAATGTAGACCGATGCTATTTAGCTTTAATGATTTCCTCGACTGAGTCTTACTGTAAAATTACAAATTATTAGGATTTCATCTAGTTATTTTTTAGACTAATAGTTAATATTTTCTATGATCACATGTTCATTGTTATGAAGGAGAACTGGGCTCAGTGTTTCCAACTACTGTTCTTCAAAATTAAATCAAATTCCAACGTGTTTTGTTTTCTTCAGGCCAAGTGATTTTTTGGTTGCAAGTTAACTTTCATGTACCACTCGACTCGCTACTTCCAACATTTCTTTTGTTTAAAAAATATACTATCACTTTTTATAATTTACAATGTTTTGTACAATGTTTTGTAGAATCTTTACCTGTAAAGGCAGTTAATCCACCAGTCAGTTTCCCCAAATTACTGCCAAAGGGAGATGACTCTGCTAAAGCTGTAACAAATGCTAAAGCTGTAACAAAGAAACCACCCGGTATTGCATTTATTTTAAGAAAATCTAGACAATGACATTAGATTTGATCATATTTGCTTTTTTAGTTAGACTTTAGCTATATCTAATGCGCTTAATTAAAGTTAATAGCCTTAAACATACATTATGCAAGAGCTATCTGTCATCGCTAGCCTGCGATATATATTGGATTATGATCCCATTTGCTGCTTAACTTCCATTCATGATTTAATCATGAAATGGATAATCGAGACTATGTTTTTATCGTACTGACTTTAGTAATGTTGATCGAGGCTAGGCCAAAATTTCAATTACTTAATTCTCGGTTCATAGTGGATCAGTTTAACTGAAATTTTCAGCAAATTGCCTTTACATTATCTAGTTTTTAACTATTATAGTGAGAACTGCCAGCTCTTTATCTAATCTCCCATAATGTATCTTTAAATTGGACCAATATAGTACATTTTGGTAAAAGTATTTTTGATCTGTTCATTGTAAGAAATAGACTAGAAGTAGAAAAAAAGACATAGTGACCCATATTTGTTTTTAGTCATGGTTGATAATACTTTATTTTTTTTTATACTACAGCTTCTATACCTAGTATAGACTTTGATCAAATTAGATTAGAAACTGATAAATTAATGCGTAAAACAATACGAATTAGTTTATATATCAGTAGAGGTAACAATTTATTATATCTACAGTTTTACACACTTCTAACAAATAACCATTCAAATAACTTTGATTAATGCAAACTAATTTATTTTTCTCACATGTTACTAAGACATGATGTTGGGTTAACTTAGTATTATTTTCCAGACTGAACCAATAGATTATAACTTCCTTGAGTGGCACTCTATAGTAATTGAACAGTAGTAACACACTAAAAATTATTTATGGAATAACAATTACTGGTTTATCAATTGATGATAAAGACAAGAGTATCATCGTCAAAACGTTGCATGTTAATAAACCAGTAATTGTTATTCAATAAATAATTTTTAATGTGCAGTAGATTTTAAGCCATTAATTATGCCTGTGACCATTGCTTCAAAAATATAAAGGATCCAGAAGCCTTTGATTTAGGTCATAATAAAGTGTTGAATTAGTATAATTTGATGTATGAATTAATTATTCTTAAAATGCAGATGTGACGTCATCCTTTGATGTTGGCGTACCATTATTTCAAATAATGTTACAGGCAATGTGCCAAGCGTACATTATTTATACCAGTTGAAATATTGGAACCGCATTACATATTTCATTGAAATGCACGTGCTGGATAGTGTCTGTATTTTAAGTTGTTTATTGGTCTTGTGCAAGACATTGCACTCTTGCAATTTCAATATTACTTAATGTCTCGCACTCGACCATTAAAGTACACATATTTAATGGTAATTATTCATATTGGCTCATTTATTGTAGAAAGATACCCATTTCTCCAAATATAGCACCACATCAAATTTAATCAAATCTATACTTTCCTAATCCTATTGCACCCATATCAAAGTGGTTATAATATGTACTTTACAATACACTATAGTTCTTAAAGCTGCTGAGGGATTTAAATCCCTTGCAAACTACAATATTGTAACAGTTGAATTTCTAATACTAATAATGGGAATATCAGTTTCATTCAGTACTTAGAAAGATATGATGAATTCAAATTTTACAGTTTGTCATTCTCTGCAGTGTCCTTTTAATCCAATTATATCAGAAGATTATCCATCTTTTATTTTCTGAATTAATTGTTAAATGATAAATTTGAGCAAATTTTAACGAGGATTAAGCCATGAAATATTTGATATTGTTTGAAATCTATGGCTTTAATAACATCATGTTACTAATTAATGATTAATGATTTTAACTCTCACTCATAACCTCACCTCTTTTTTTTTAGAATAACAGGTATTTGTTTTATAAGTTGTAATTCTATAAAAGTATTATACAAAATATTAAAATTATGATTGTGTCCATTGTATGTTGAAATTATTTTGATACGCCCACATTTTCATATTGACGTATATTGTCGTCGTATCTGTCCGTTCACATTTGTTTGTGGACACTGTACAGTCTACAGGTCACAATTTTGATTTAAAATAATTTTATCCGATTTCAAAAATTATATCACTGTTACACCCTAATGGCAGCTGAGTTCAAATTTCATGACATTCAGAAACTGCCCGATAAAATGGCTGCTCCTTGTACGCAAATAGTGTAGAAGTATGTAATACTAAGGTTGTGGATCCTCTACAGGTCACAATTTTTCTCCAATTTTGATGAAACTTAAAATATATGTTTATATCCTAAGGACCTTGGTTCGTCGCATACTAGACCATATCTTCGTGGATTATGGCTCCTGATTGTCTGAACAATTGCGTTTTTAGCTTGTGGACTCTCGAGAAGTCACAAATTTTATCCAATTTTGATGAAACTTAAATATAGTTTTGGTTTCTTTTGATATTGTCGCTTTTCGGACTGTAAAAACCGCGATTGTGGCCCCTGATTATATGAAAAATCACATTTTTTTAGCTTTTTCTCTGTCCATCTCTTGCAAAATGCGGGCATATCTTGCATGGCAACTGCTTGTTGATTTATAAAATCCAATTATTGTTGTGAAAGCTTTAACCTAAATTATTACTAATGGGATTTTTTTTATTTTCTTTTTATTCAGAGAAAACTAAAGGTGAGTCATTTTTTTGCTGACATAATTAGATTTAAGATTACAACTCGAAATGATCTGATTGATTTATAAAATGTAATTGGTGTGAAAGATTTAACCTAAATTATTACTAATCAAATTTTTTTTATTTTCTTTTTATTCAGAGAAATCCAAAGGTGAGTCTTTTTTTTTTTTTTTTTTTTTGCTGACATAATTAGATTTAAGATTACAACTAGAAATGGTTTGATTGAAAAATGAAAATTGGAGTTTTGAGAAATTCATTGGTGATGCCAACCATTTCTTTAAAATACTTTACCCAGTGTAACTGTAAGTTAGTTTTATGTATGTTTGAGGTTTTATCTTTATGTAATTACAGTTACTATTAAGAAAGAAAAAGTCATTAAGAAAAGTGTAAAAAAATTATGGACAGCTCCACCTAAATATGAAATAAAATCACCAAAGCCTAGTAAAACATCAATAGTATCAGTAAAAGACAAGAAAGGTATGTTCTTTCTGTCATATTTATACAAAATCAAAGGGGTAATGGCTGTACAAATAATAATGTTTGTTCAGTTTACTGGTGTATTTTTTGTATGACCTAATATATATCTTATTTGCAGCAATCTAAAACCCTAATTATACAACTAATATGAGTTATAATATTCACATAGTTACATTTAGTCTTCATTCACATAGTTTTCAATGATAATCTGGCTGGAATATTTAATGGAGTTTTCTGAACCGAAATGGTTTGAAATGTCAGGAATTTAAAAGGGAGATAACTCTTCCACATACCCTTGTTGTCTCCCCTTTGACCACAAAGTACAAAATTCAGATTTTGATTTGAATATCATTTACACTGTATCATAAAGCTGTAACCATCGAGAGAAACTATGAAATGATTTATTTGAATTATATTTTTATTTCTACCCTTTGAATCAGATATTAATTTATAATAAGAATTATTTTCTGTCAGTCAGCTCAAAAATGCATACCACAATGTCAGCTAAAGAAAACCATCCTCAGTCTAGAAAAGTAAAAAGAATTACCACTACCAGTAAAAATTCAGTTACCAACGATAGTGATAGTAGTATCAGTGATATTAATAGTAGTATTCATGATACTAATAGTAATATTAAATATACTAATAGTATTACTAATGATACTAAAGGTAGTACTAATGATACTAATGATGCTACACCTACCACTGTCCCAACCAGTGCCATTTCTAATTTCTCTGCCGATGCTCATAGTTCAAAGGGAGTGAAACTAGTGAAGAAAAGATCTTACACAAAATCTAATAAATCATCTCGAAGCAGTGTGAAATCCAAACAAGGTTTCTCAATGTTGACTGTTGTCTGTATATAATCATATATATCATCATGTATATCTGCATGGCAAATTTATAGTACGCATAGTCGTATATTTGGTTCAGAAAACTTTTCTTGATATTAAACTATCCTATTCAATTTAATGTGATGTCATCATGTAAAAACACTTATATACATACTTTAATATTCTGGCATAAGATTAATATTAGTCCTTAAGGAGGGACACGGTGGTAAGATGCTGGCTGGCTAGCCTGGAGGTCGGGTGTTCGATCCCTGCATTGGCCGCGAAAGTTCATCCAGATTTTCTGGCGTGGTTCCCCCTTGTCAATGATGCAGGACGGACGACCTGACAAGGACAGCTGTCTAGTCGTTTGGATGGCACAAAAAAATGAGGTCCCGTACGTACTCATTGGTGTGCACGTAAAAGATCCCTTGAGAGTTGGAATTCAATATGAGAGTAGGCCGTAGTGACATAAGATTTAAATTAGTCCCTAAATAAAGATTGTTCACATTTGTCTTTAGATTCTGCTTTTAATATTATTTATTATTAATTTTACAATATACATATCTGTTTGATTTGATGGCTATTTTGTGTTACTGCACTTATTGTTATTTTGTAATTTGTATATTGAAATATATCAATATTTATTCTTATGTGCTGATAAGCTCTACGAGACATAGCACAAGACATATGGATAATATTCTTTCCAATTTATTCTGTACACTTCTATATCTGAATGTCATAATAAAGAATAATTTGATTAAATTCATAGACATATTGAGTAGAATATATAGACATCCAATTCTATTGTTGATAAACTCTATTTCAGAAGTTGTTATTAAACCTCAACCACTACCAGTTACATTACCTGACATAGTTGATATAGTTGACATAGTTGACAAAGTTGACTTAACTCCCCTTCCTACCCCTCCCAGTCCACCTACCCCAATTATACAAGATGATATTAGTGTAATTAGTGATGAACTAACAGATCTCAGCACAAGATCTCCAGCAGAGGTATGTTCAATATTTCTAGGATTTCCCAAATCATTATGTGTGTAACATCAAACAGTGCACACCATGGCTTCCAGCCGGTCATTTTTCACACGGAGAAAGTGGTTCTATTTTTAGCACATAATAAGAAGTTACGAAACAACTAACTGCACACTAACATGGGTAAACTTGTTTTACATAGAACTAGCAGAACACCATAATTCACTTGCGCGTGACAGGAAACCAGAGGACCTACAGAAAACCCACGAGGTTGGCCAGTCGACCCCACTCCTTGTCACATACAAGTTTGGGATCCTAACCCAACATTATAAGTCATGAGCTTGAATCCAAGAGGGCCAGCTGTAGGCATCCACTTCATTGTACTTATCAGATTAGTAATGGCACAAATATATATGAATATATTAGCGCTACCCGGGTTGTGCCGTAACTCTGAAACAGGAAGCAGTGGGCCAATGCCACCTAGCGCATGTTACTCCCTGGTCCAAGCTACCGCTATACACCAATTTTCAGCCTGGGGATAGCCCTAGTGTTGCCGCCAACCCTGAACTGACAAACGACAGTCACAAATATTAGTATAGAAAAAATGTAAATGTTAGACTATATTGATGCTAATTGATTTTGCATTTCTAGTATGATGGAGGAGATGAAGAAAATATTGCGAGTAAAAAACCTCGATCACCGTTAAAAAAGAAAGACAGGGTCTTAAGAAACAGAAATGATGGAAATGTTGACGGTTTACCTAAAGCACCGGAGACAGTTAGGACTAAACAATCTTCGTGGATTTATGGAGAAGATGAAGTAGTAGGCATGGTTAGTAATCTGGGTATTACACCTGTAAAATTAGATGCTGCTGGTTTACCACAAGCACCAGATATACCAGATGTTCCAGATGTTCCAGATGATAAAAAGAAACCATTGAAATCTATGGTTGTAAATAAACACTTGATGCCAGTTGAGAATAAGTCGGCACGATGGGGAATGAAAAAAATAGACAGTTCATACGGAGATGAACAAAGAAAAGCCGAATTAGCTGAGAGACGACGCAAACGACAAATGGAAATGTATGAAAAATTAAAATTACGGAAATCAACCAAAGGAATTACTGATGAAGACGATAAAGATGGTGCTTCATTTGATGACTGTATGTAAACAATGTTGATTTGTTTTGTAACTATACCTCAACAAACATATCCTAACAAGTATTATTTCACATTTGAACTATATTCCATAATCAAACAACATCTTTTATCTTTTCTTAACAGTTTTTTTATTGAATTTTGATGACCAAGACCATCAATTTGTATTATAGAATTGCATATATCTTTAAAAAAAATATATATATCAGAACTAAAGAAAGGATATGATTTTTTATGGTGAGGTAAATAAAAATACATGTATTGAAATGATGTTTGAGGTCATTCGTTCATTGACATATTTTTCAATTCAATAAAAAATCATATTTTATATGTTACAACCCAGCTGTTTAATAAATATGTTACAAAAAAATAAAACATAAAGTTATTGATATTAACATATTATATCATCTTATTTCTATATAATATTGATTTATTTTCAGATGATTTTCTAGCCAAGTATTGTATATTTGATAAAATAAACAGAAATATTATTCAACATGTTTTTGATACTGTAAGTTGAATTCAGTCATATTTTATACTGTCAATTTGGAATCAGACCATATTATGGTGTGACATCAATCTGCCCATAAAACTTTTAGAGCAAAATTCTGCACGTTCTTTGGTAGTAAATGGATCATTATACTTTGTACAATTTTTAATTACATGTGTTTAAGTAGTCAGATTTAATTTTGAAGTAAATGAAGTTTTAATTTTGGTTAATTTGATATGTTATTTCAATTAGTGATGCGAAAAGATAGTCAGTTTGATTACTAATCTTAGTTTCAGTTTTGATAGAAATTGTCAACTGTTAAACACCTCAAAATTAGCTTTATCTGTGCTGCACACAGAGACTGTGCACCTAAAAGTTTTAAATGTAAACAGATACCCACTTAACAAAGCAAATTAACGCATAAGAGGTCAGATAAGTCCATAGTTTGTACATTTTAAAGAAAGCAGAGGACTATTAAAATGTGTTCATGGAACTCCGTCACTTGTTTTTGGACACAATAACTATTCTTCTGACTGTGGTGAATGTCTTGACTTAGTTTGATGATGAGCATTTTTGCATAAACTAAGCGAAGAGGAGCAATTTGATGATTTGTATATGTTTTGAGGGAGATTTTTATTAATTACCTTGATTAAGTTCACTAATTGAGTATTTGATTGTTTGGTGCTTTATAAAAGATACTTTTGCAAGTAATTAATGACTGTCATCTGGTTTTTTTCGGAACTGTTGGATTGTTTTCTATGTTAGTTGTTTGCATAAATGAAAGATATATAGTTTCTTTTGATCTTTTTGTATCTCAATATAACAAAATAAACTTTAGACCAATCTTTTTGTCACCACTGCTCGAGATATTAACTAGATTAGAACGGTTTGGCCATTTAATGATTTAATTTAAAAATAGAGAAGCAAGGCTAAGACTCGAATATACCAGTACCATGGTTATGATGATCAACAATCAATGCATGCATCTTGTCAAATTTACAGACAGTGATAACTTGGCTCAGAATAAAATAATTTGAATGAAATTTTCAATTTTATGTTATCTATTTTTATACGCCCACATTTTCATGTGGACGTATATTTTCGTCGCCCCTGTCCATCCGCACAATTTGTTTGTGGACACTTTACAGGTCACAATTTTTGTTCGATTTTGACGCAACTTAAAATATAGGTCTATCTCCCAAAGATCTCGGTTCCTTTCGATATTGGCATATATCGGACCATAACTTCATAGATTATGGCCCCTGATTGTAAGAAACATCACGTTTTTAGCTTGTGGACACTCTAGAGGTCACAATTTTTATCTCATTTTGATGAAACTTAAATGCATGTTTATAACCCAAAGATCTTGATTCCTTTCGATATTTGCGCATATCGGATCGTAAATTCCTGAATTATGGCCCTTGAATGTACGAAAAATCACTTTTTGTTTAGCTTGTTCTCAATCCATCTCTTGCAAAATGTGGGTGTATCCTGCCTGGCAGCCGCTGGTTGAACTATTATAGCAAGAATAGTTAACTCTTTATCCAAATCTTACATAATGTATCTTTAAAAAAATCAAATATTCGAATAAGAAATGTTAAACCAGTGTCCTGGTGTTTTTCGGTATATTTTCAGGTAGATGAAAAGAAGTGTGGTTGGTTAGATTGTACAGAAACAATGGTAGCATTACGTAGTATTAACAATAAACTAACATATACTGAGGAAGAATATCTTTATAGGGTACTTACATTCAAAGTTTGTATGATTAAAACTTTTATTATTTATTTGGCTGAATTCATGCAATTCAGTAAGTCAGATTTATTGTGTGAAATTTTCAACTTTAAAAGGACTAAAACATTTGGTGGAGGGGTGTACACATGTTTGCTCTAGATTTATCATTTGACAAAAGAAGTAGTATTTTATTATAGGTAATAGAAATGACTGGTTATAAAGTTACACATGGTGCGGATTTTAAACTATTCTCTATATTAGCAGCTTTATCTACTAAAATATCTTCATTAGAGTAAGTATCTACTGATAATTTGACTCATTTATTATATCAGATATAATGTATTGTTACAACTATGATAATAATAGACCTACAGGACTAATAGATTTGTTGGGATGGGTGTACACATGTTTGGGTGTCTGAATATCAGATATCACCATACACGATGACATTAACCCACCCTCTATCAACTCGAATGTCACTATTGATACTTTTAATTTTTTACTTCCAATGTTGAATAGTCGAGTTTGTTGAAAGAGTTTTGCCCTGAATTCTGTCTGAATTGAAATGGAGGATATGCTGTTAGGTTCATGTCATGACTACACTGTAAAATCGTCACCCAGGTGATAAGTTCTACAGATCCTCATCCAGGTTTTATTGTATTTTTTGTTTACAGTTCATGGATGAAGAATATTTTAGGAAACATGGATTTTAAAACTTTAGAAATGAAATTGTTTATGTGTAAGGTAAGATCCCTTTCTGTCACCAGTTAATATAAAGCCTATGGTCAAAGGTTACTGTATTTTACAAGATATAATGCGGAGTATAAGTCAAATCGTCATATTTTAAAGTTTTTCCGATCTTCATCCATAGATATTGAAGTGTAAAGCAGTGTACTAGGTGAATACTTTTCAACTCCATAGCAGTATTCGACCAATATGATTTATTTCTTGTCTGTGTTTTTGAGCTACCAGTAACCACACTTTCCATAGAGGGGCATTGGATGGGCGAATGGTTAGCATGTGCGCACTGTATCTTAAGGTCTGTCATTGAGACTGATGTGGTTTCGATTCCCCAGGTGGCCGCCTGTCCAACCTCGTGGGTTTTCTCTGGGTCCTCTGGTTTCCTCCCACTGCTAAAGACCCCTACGCACAAGCGAATTATTGAAATAAAATTGAACCATGTGTTAGTCCCGAAATGACCTAGTTTGTGTTGAGTGGACGTTAAACCCCATTTCTCTCTCTTTACAATAAAAGATGTTAGAGTGTATGTATATAATATATACTGTAATATTCTCATACATACCTTGTCTAATTGTACAAATGGCTTTTGTGCCTCATTTACACATGGTATAAACCATATCTAAACCATCTTGATCCATATGAATTTAATATTGCTAAAAAATAGTGTATGCTTTTGTGTTTTGAATGATGTACAAATTTTATTTTCAGACATTATGGGAGTGCAATGTCGATAAAGAAACTACTACTATACCTCTAGAACAACTTATGATAGAGTTGCGAGCTGGTGGGGTTAGTTTTGAACATGAATGTCAAGTACGACAGAAATTAAGTCATCTAAAAGAGTTAGACCTGTGTGATTTTCTTACTTATGTTCCACTGTTTATAATGATTCATGAATCTGTTGTTTCTAATCCATTAGATGATTCCAGACAAAAATAAATTATTTGAATTGTAATAAATTAAAAAATTTGTGTAGTACTACCTTTTTTTTCCAGCGATTCAAACGATAAGCATCGTTAACAATGAAAATAGTTAAATTTTATTTCATAGATTAAGGAGTTAAATAATGAAGATCCATTATCATAGACCAGTCCCTAATATTCTTCTTAAAAAATTTCGGCCCACGTAATCTGACATTCTTGTTTGAGATGTTTGATAGAAATAAATATCTTGTATGAGAGGTTTGATAGAAATAAATCTAAAACTGGTATTTATTTTCTTTTTTTAAAATTTTAAATCTAATCACTGATGCTGGACTATTGGAAAATGAGTCATATGACTCTGAAAAATACAAACACTTTACATAAAACATCCGGAATACCAATAGTCCAGATTCCGACACCAAATATAAGAGGGAAAATTAAATGAATATCTCTCGAGAACCCACAGTATTTTATTATACAGTATATGATGTTGTTATTATTGTTAAAATGTATCTATTTTTATTATCATATTGATTTAATAATGGTTCTATAGTATACATGTATATCTAAATAAGAAATGAAATAAACATTCTGTGGTTTGTAATATGTCAGATTGTTTTCCAGTTGTATGTTTTAATTCAGAAATTTTCAATTGATAACTTAAATGTACCTGTAGTTATGTTAATGTACAATTTTCCAACTTACAATCAGTTTAAATACTGAAATGTCACTTAAATCTATAGTTTAAACTGTTCATTTATTGTACCGGTTCATATGAATTATAAATACCTGTAGACTGAAACACAATCAAAATGCATCATTGATTTGACTGGAAGTGCTGATGAGATGTAATGCAACTGAAATAACATTACAGCGAAACGTGAGCACAAGGAGTGAAAATCAGTAAGGTGGTTTGTCTCTAGCAATGGAGGAGATAATAATATAAACCTTTAATGAACGACTGATTGTTACTATATGTTAGATCCTTCCTCACTCTAGTGACTACAAGATTAAACTGTAAGTGAGATTTGCTATCCTCCATTTTTAACAGTGATGCATTTTCATTGTGTTGCAGTAAATCAGCCCATCAACCCAAAGGTATTAAATCATTACTTCTTAGCCCATCTATTCTACTTCTACGCCATAACTGCTTGAAGGATTTCAACAAAATTTAATAGGTAATTGTCGCCAGCATAATGTTTATTCGAATTGTTTTTCAATGAAGTTGCTGGGCCAGGACAATTGTTAAAATGAAGTTGGTCTTTCATGGTTTCATCAGGGAAATATGGTCTGATGATATTGGTATTGATATTCACACGTGGATGATTAAGGCCCTAGGGCCTGCTGTAATTATATTAAATATCTGTGATATATAGATTGTATATATTTTTATATTTGATCAATAAAATGTTATAGTTTACATGTTGTCTGTTGTCCTTATTTCAAGTTAATATGATGTTAACCATGCATATGAGATTTTATGCCACATACATAAAATATTCTCCAGTTTGTCAACAAGGATTATTTTTTAAACAAGGGTAATGCCTCTTAATGACACCATCAATAATCATTGTGTGTCTGAATGTTCAAGGGAGGTGGATGGCCGAATGGTTAGCAAGTGCACACTGTATCATAAGGTCTGTCACTGTGTCAACTTGCATGGTTTTGATTCCCCGGTTGTACGTGACAGGGAGTAGGGTTGCCTGTCCAACCTCATGGGTTTTCTCCAGGTCCTCCCACTGCTGAAGACCGCTACACGCACGCGAGTTATTGAAATAAAATTGAACCATATGTTAGTCCTGAAATGACCTGCTTTGTGTTGAGTGGATGTAAATCCCCAGTTCTCTCTCTCCTCTGAATGTTCTTCTTCATTTATATATTCTTTTTACTGGTATATGCCCACTTTTAGAGTGACCATTTCCTGTTTGTTAACTGTTTGTGAAGTTGGGGTGTGACTTAATATTCTTGAGTCATCAGTGGAGTATTTGCACAGTTATAGTCGGTGGCATATAGTACATGACAAACAGCCTGTAACCTGTAAGCAGATTGAGGTCTACATTTTTCATCCGCTTGGTCATCTGAACAAGCTTGGATTTTAATAAGATACATCAATAACTTGTGAAAACATTAGTTTTCTAGATCTCAGGCAATTAACATTTTAATGAGATTCATCAATTAAAGTTAAAGCCTTCAACATCTTGGTGAAATAAGGTTCTTCGGAGCACTGAACCTTGGCAGGGCACTTTGTACAGAAAGTGGGGATAAAACAATTTAATTGGTGTTTTGTGCACTTAAGTTACAAATGGTTTATTAACCAATGATGAATGAACTCACCAGGAAAAAATTTATTGACTGTGAAAGATGCATTGTAGATCTTTGTTTTTGGGTTTTTTTTGCATCAATGTTTATATATGCAAACATACGAGTTAAAAACTTCCAAGTGCTACATGTATTTACAAAATCGCTGGTCAATTACATTTTGATGAATTTAAGATCCCCCCCCCCCTTATATATTTCTATATCTTTTAAAATGTGGATTGGAAGAAACAGCATTACTGTACCTATTAATTGCCATTATTCATATATTCAAATACTTGTAGAAGGCTGACACCCTGATCTAGATCTTGTTTGACAAGATGCCATTTGTTGAAACCTATCTGCTGCAATGGCCACTTGTCTGAGCCAACAGACATGATGCGATGTCTCCAGAATTTTTTGTGAGATGTGGACCAAAGTGAACTTTTATGTCTCTTACATGCGTAAAATTAAACATAATTTACATTAAACCCGGCAAAACTATGCCAGGTAACTGAAACCGATGTTAAATAAAATAGCTATAACAATGATATATTATTAGAAAAAAGCTGATGTTTATTGCTGAAAATATGCCACTATATAATATTGTCTATACAGTATATATTTTATATAGTGAAACTTGAACCATTTTGGTTTTCTTTATATCATAGATTATAGAATAGTGAGTGTCAATCTTAGATACACGCCCTTCTTTACCATTTCAATTTACATGTTACTCAATTCCTACACTAGTGACAAACAAATTATATGATATGAAATAAGTTGAGAAAAACTCAAAAATATCACACTTTATACATAAAATTAATAAATTTTGTGCTTACAGTGACATCAAATCAAAAACCTGTCATAGTATAAAAACCATGCAAAATTAAGATAAAAAATTTTGTATTTTCCTTGAAAACAGTGTAATGGATACTTTGTTAAAGGGAAGTCCCATTTATTATTTTTGAAAAAAAGATCTGCAGATTTGACAGATTTATTTGAATGTTGTCATCACGCAGTCTACCAAATAAAACTGGCACAGACCATGTGCAGTTTACTATTTTAGTGGTATTTAGGTTTTACTCAAAACATGCTTCAAAATTATTCACATATTCCCTAAGAAAAATACATTGCATCAATGAAAATGAATTTGCTGTGTAGGTATGTCACTATTATTGACTGATCTAATGAGTCAAATACTGGTGCCACTTATTCGATAATTTATCTTTAAAGGTCAGACTGTCTCTTTAATGGTAACATGAAAAAAGAAAGGGAAGTGTGTTATCTTAGAATACTCAATTTATATATTTGAGTATTACAGAATCGTGTAATTTAAATACTTTTAAAACACAAACATGCAACTTAGTTAAAACATTTCTTTAATTTTGATTTTTGTAAAATGACTTTATTAAATAAGCGCTTTAAGCTTTTCAAAAGTGAAATATGGTAATTGTAGGACTTAATTGGGTAAAGTAAAATTCTTATTAATACTTTTCTAATTATAGTATTTGAATAGTTAATTAATACCTATAAATAATTGGTCTATCTTAATCAATACAGATTAGATGTACATCTTCTATATATATATATCTCTATATAATATATATACATGGAAATATAGTATAATAACATTATACAAGATTGAATGATTTGTGTAAATTTTCTAGCATATTTCAGCTGTATTCTCACTTCAAGCTACTATACACACAGGGTTACAAAAATTACAGTATTAATAATAAATAGCTACAACAGTATCTAAAAACATAAGAAGAGAAATATTATCTACAAAAGTAAGATAGTGAATGACTACATAACAATTCTACTCAAAATCAGTTTGTGGAACATTGCACAATACTACACAGAATCCGAGTGACATTTTGAAAAAATATTATTTTAGAAATACATAAGAATGTTCTGTGGCTAATAATTAACATGTTTCAGATCAAGACCCACAAACTGTACTTATCAAATTTAATATTATGTATAATATGCATATCGTACCCCAAATGATAAGGAGGCTGTAAAATATTTTCTGTGATTTATGATGAATATCAAGAGAGAAAAAAGTACTTTGTTCAAATGCTATTTTTTATCTGACACCCCCCTAAACGATCCACCTTAATTGCCAATGTCTAATTGAAAGAACTCTACAAAAATCAAATAGGGGACTAATCATATAAAAATTTTGCAATCACAATCAATTCGATAGAATTAATTAGAAACTCATCTGAGAAAACTGGCCGTGAAATAATAAACTAAATACCCTACTACACAATGTGTAGACAATTTAACAGATCTTTACATATTAGTTACAATAAAGAATAAATACAGTGGAGTAGTTTAACATCTACACATAATAATAGTATACTATGTATATAATACTGTACATAATGAAAACTATTCACAGACTTAAATATCAACAGTCTAAACATACATGAACATTATAATATACAGTTGTTAAAAAACCCTCCCACTTCCTCATTCTACATATAGACACAGTGAGTTACAAATAGAAAACAATGATAATACATATAAAAGATAAGGTTGTCTTTTTACCTTAGTTACCATTTTCTTATATATGTAAATTTTAATTATATATGTCATTTATATTTCAAATTATAACCTAGACAGACATTACTAGAAAAAATACCAATAAACCCAATATTCTAATAACACTTGACCATGGACATTATATGTTCCATGACATGACTCAATTTAAAGATTTTTTTTTTAAAATTCAAAGAGAGAAGCCTTTAATGACAAATTTTGCTTGACATTTAAGGATTTCTTTCTTGCTTTATTCATTTACCGTGACGTTACTGTTCACTGAGTTTTTAATTTGATTTTTGTCTAGGTTTTACTAAATTATTTAATTGACTGAGAAGGAACACAGCTTAAATTCATGTCAACTGAGTTGAAAGCCAGTCAATAGTATGATGAGGCATAAAGGCAACATTATCCTTTTATATGTTGTGTAAAACATGAGATATAAGATACACATATGAAACATCCAATATTCAACACAACAATAATAGTTAGATTTGAAGATATTCTTACAGTAAAAAGGATATGGATTTAAACAGCTAGGCAAGAAAAAAGCAAATGTAAATCTCTCTTGGGATGACTTTAACAACAGTCTTAATTGTACACACGATCAAAAACTATCATTCTTAAATTCATTGCTTGACAAATATGAAAATTGTATTCAAAGCATAAAACCTATAGCCTTATGACTTTTCTTCCTAATGGTTTTATCTTTAAGATTAACAGCCACCTTTGTTGATCTATGACTGAACAATTCTGGTTAATGACTAGACATCTTTGATCAGGTTAAAAACAAATTGGATTTTAGATGTTGATTTGTTTTGTGGCATGATAATATGCCGTCATTGTAAATTTCATGTCTAGAGATCAAACCAATTGTGTGATCTTATGCCAACACAACAAGCCAAAGGTCAAAGTTAACTGGTAAACAAGCTGACCTTCACTTCAATTTTGAAACAAACATGACTAATGGAAAGAAATCAATAGATAAATCTAATTCAGGTTGACCTAATTCAAAGAGCTTTTAGAGAGAGAGAAAAAGAGAGAAATGGGGTTTAACCTCAACTCAACACAAATTAGATCATTTCGGGACCAACACATGTTTCAACTTTATTTCAATAATTCGCTTGCGCATAGGAGTCTTTAGCAGTGGGAGGAAACCGGAGGACCCGGAGAAAACTGACGAGGTTGGACAGGTGACCCTATTCCTTGTCACGTACAAAAAGCAAATTGAAACTATGCCAGATGACTCAATGACAGACCTTATGATACAGTGTGCATGCGCTAACCACTCAGCCATCCAATCCCCTCTCAAAGAGCTTTAGCTGCTTTAAATATTACTAAAATGATTATTGCACATATGATTATTTAATTAGATTGTAAGTCAAATTCTACTATATTTCACCTGGAAGACAGCCATATATTTTTATATCAAATTTACTGAATTAAAACTGTAGCTAAATATCCAAAGAAAAACAAAGAATAAATTATGTGTGCAATTAGACCGTACCAAAGTTATTATAGAGCAAGGCACCTAACACAGAAACAGAAAAACAATGGCATAAATGTTATTTTGAAAAAGAAATTTGTTATTAGATTTAAATAAAATTCCTATCACTATAAAAAAATATGTCTTCTTTTTTTTATTGGTCATCTGTTTCAAGCAAAGGGTGGGACCATTCCAGCAGTTAGCAAATCACTTACAAATAGGATAATATATGTGCTAGATTTTCTACTTCAAAACTTATCACATATAAGCACTAAGTAATAATCAAATGAAATAATATGTTAAGAGTAACAATAGATGAACACATTTAGAAATATAAAAATGGTGTGGATACTATAATACAATGAAAGTAAATAAGGCCCGACCAGCCATGTGTGGTTCTCACTTTATACATATTATGATCTATTGTTAGTAATACTAACATAAAAACTTTACAAATATCCACGATGTACATATCAATACTTCCATTATCAATAATAATTTCAAATTAAATTATATTTCATTTTAGAACATAAAAGTATTCTTCACCTGCCTCCTTAAATATTTCAAACTGTGAAATCAGTAAAATAGTTGGAAATAAACTGCAACAAATTTATGCACCACTTTACAATAAAGCATGAATTATATGCAAATATGTTACGAATCATCCATACATATAACACACTGTGATAGGACATATATTATCTGTAGGTAAAAATATCTTATATATAAATGACGTTTAACAAAACCAAATGTCATTTTGTGGGTAGCATGAGCCACAGTGGCAAATTGACTGGATTGAGTCGATGACATTTAATATTTGTGGCAATTGTTCAGTGGCAATTTTCCCTGTGGCAGTTGTCTTAGTTCTAATGTAGACAGTATATGAAAAGAGCATAAATTGCACAAATTTAGCACCAAAGTCAGCTGATGAATTCCACATGTTTTCTAACAACCTAAGGGCAATTTATTTAGAGGGAGGGGGGGATGTTGTCTAGTAGAGTTTGATCTATAATAGAAAATATCTAAATTCTAAACAGAATATTGTCCTCTCAACTAACACTATTAATATTAATTATATATGATCACAAGCACACTTTATATGACTGTACATTATACACATACATACCATGATAATAGAATATATACTTTATATAATATAGTAAATACACCCGCACAGGTTTGTTGCATACACTGAATCAATAATAAAAAGAAAAGATGAGGAAGGATAAAAGTTGGGAGAGTTAAAAGTTGATAATTTGACAAAAAGTGATATATATTTATTTATATATATATATAACGAATAATGTTTTAATTGAGCTTGATGGTAATCTATACTTAATTCAAATACTACAAATTGTAAGCACTAAAATAGCACTAGAATGTCGACCCTCCATTTTATAAAATATTCTTTTTATCTATACAGAAGATGTAACCAGATCCATATCATGGATTAGTTCACCACGTTTGTGTTCATTATCAATTATCTCAACTGTAATTAACATAATAATAGTTCATATTAAATTTAAATAATATGAATCAATAACAATATCTCGGAATAACCCAGATATATGAATATCTCTTGCCATATTTAAACAGTTATTACTGTTAGGTTAATCTTTATTAAATGGTTTTGATAGATTAAAGGTCTGGTATTGTTCAGATCTGTAGATCTCACTTTCGATGAACACCAATCAAAACCCTGAAATTTATCACATGACATAAAGATGGCGAGATATATATATCTACCAATCATTGTCATCAGAATCCGCTTCCTCCTCACTCTCACTGTCCTCTATAACTCTACGTCTCATTTCAAAAGCTTTATCCATTATAGCTTGAACATCTAATCTTCCAGCTGGCATCTTTTTCTTTTCTTCTTTCTCTTCTAAACGATTTAATTTCTTCAAATCTGAAAAATACAGAGCAAAATTTAATAATCAAAAGCAAGTATATACTGTGTAGTAATGGAAGGCATGTAATTCTTACTATTTTCAGAACATCTGATATCACTTGACTTTCACTTTTATTCTTGGCAATGACGAAGTATATTATGGCTATTATGGTAGCAAATGCCGAATTTGTAGTAATTGAATTCATTCTTTCTTAAAATAAACTAAAACTATGGACCTCAATAAATTTAGTACATAAATAGATGTAAATTTACAGATTTGGAGAATGTCCACCATTTTATTTCTATATAAATCCTAACAAGGGAGAAAACGAATCACTGACTTGTCGGCTAATCATGTGACATTTCTATTTACTTCTAAAGTCTCACTAAATGTTTGTAGAAATAGCTTCACCCTAAACTTCTAATGCAATGTTGTTCTATGCTCTATAGAAGAGTCTAGTTGCATAATGCATTGTCTATTAGAAATAAAAAAATACATAAACAATATAAATGTACTCACGTGTACCAATTCTTATTTCTTCCAACAGAGCACTACGATCAGATTCAGCTTTGCCCACAGGATTAGATATAGTTGTTACAGTACTACCAGATGATGATATAGATGCTTCATCAGGCTGGCTTCGTAGATGCCCATTCTGCATCTTCATATCCATTGGTGGAGGAGGGGGAGGAGGTGGGGGTGGGGGAGATGGTGCTTTAACAAAATTTGTGGGATTATACTGATCAAGTGGGGGTGGGGGTGATGGCGGAGGAGGCATTTCCATGCTCACTGGTGTGTCGGGTGTATTATCCTTCGGGGACAATGGAGGGGGAGGAAGATCCATTGATTGATTCATGCTAATATGGGGACTGAACATCTGATGTCTAGCTGGGGAATTTTTGGCAGAGTTCTGATGAACCAGATGACGCGGTGATCCAGTAGATTTCATACCATTATCAAGCTGTACTTGATAAGGACTAGATTGATGCTGTGCAAACTGTTCAGCTGGGGGCGGGGGAGGAGGTGGAGGTAGTATATCTCTTCCACTAGAGGGGCTGTCTTTATTGGCAACAGGAGGACCAGGTGGTCGTTCTGATGGTCTGTATTGAGGACTAGTAACAGTACCTCTAACATCATGAGCCATGTGATTAGATTGTGGTATCTGATTGGCTACATGATTGTGTTCAGGTTGGTTGTATGGTATTTGAACCGGGCCGTTTTGTACAGGTTTTGTGGAAGCATTTTCATGTTTATCAGCATGTTGGTGATTGTGTTTTTGGGAGTCTTTTCTAACCACCGAGTTCTGTTTCTGTATATTAATAGAGTCTGGTCGTTGCGATTGGTGAGGAGCAGTATTATTATTGTTTATTTGTACCATGTTGCTAGGCACTGTCTGATTAACAATATGTTTACGAACGTCTGGAACATGATAGTCACTTAATTCTTGTCCATATTTTTTGGACTCCCACTCTTCTTTTCTTGTGACCACTTTACGAACAACCCTCTGTTGAGTCTGATCTCTTGGTCTCTGTAAAAATAAATGTTTTATATTATATATGGATGTATGTACTAGAACCATGTTGTCACTATTACTAGTAGTCTATAGACACCTATAGGTCTATTCAATTATCCACTCTGTGGAATCAAGTGTAAATGTAGTAGTCTCAAGTGTTTCCAGAGAGCAGTCATACAGTTACTGGTTTACGTAATTAGAAAAACTATTTATTTGTTAAATTAGTCACAAAAACCAGTCAACTGGCCTGGTCTGACTTTCAAAGACAGGTTGCCAGGCAATCAAACATATGCCCACAGCAACTATGTTGTTTAAACAGTCCACAAAGGTAATCATATATCTATTGTTTTGTAGGTATTAGGGGACATTCAAAAAACACTAAAAACTGATCAAGAGTAACAAAATATGTAGTAATTATCAGAAATAATTAAATTTTATTTCACAGAACATGTACAGGTAATCACATGATTTCTCCAGCATTGTTGAAAATAAATAGGATTCTTATTCCATAAACACCTGACAGCAATTATCAAAATTTGTCGAAATTCAACAGGTTTGTGTAAAATTCAAAGATTCAGATATCTACATCATGTATCAATAAAATTAAATTGTGAACAAATCTATTTAGATGAAATTGTGCTATGCTATTTTAAATATCTTTAGAATATATATGAAAATCAATCAGCTTTTTTATTATATATTTTTTATGTTGGTAGTGTATATTTATATAGGTTATTAGTGTGTATGTTATGATCAGTCTATGATCACCTGGTGTAGACATCAAACAATTAATCAATACACTAATCAATAATAAACACATAACTTTACACAGTTACTCTACAATGTCTATATACTTACAAAATAACATTATACAAACTCGCACTGGCCTCAAATTCTATTTTTACAAGTCTGCTCTGACAACTTACTTCCTATACAATTTTTCTAAAATTTCACTTCTGAACACTAACGACAGTGGATTTTATGAAGACGTTAAGAATTTAATTTAACTGTATAACTGTAACTATTTGGATCATAGTATTTTAAATGTAATTTAGAATGGTGAAACAAGGGATTATTTATTGGTTGAACAGTAATACTATATACTAATCTGAGACAATTTCCGCTATTAATAAATCACTGTACAGTACATCAATTTGTATTGGACAATTACAATAATAATAGATAACAGAAAGAAGATTAGAAAGACCTTTACCAGAACTATACTGACTACAAGAACAACACAGACCAGAATAGACAATATCTTTATATTAACCATTAACATCAATCTTGTTACACTTTGAATTATTTAACAATAATAGACATACAAGTTCAAAATGACAGGAATATAAAATCACTTCTACAGATTTAAAGACACAGTTGCTTGTCAGGCCCCCTTCAGAGACCGTAGAGCAATTTCCGAAGTGGGGGGGGGGGGCTGACAATCGAGGGACAAAGTCACGAAAACGAAGCGTCGTGTACCGACGCAAGAGAGTGTTGCTGCAGGCACCTCAGGCGTGGGGTTTGGTCCCCACTTTAGGGCCTCATGAAAATTTTAAAATTTTGATGTGATTTTTTTGCATTTTGAGTGACTTGTTAACATATACGGAAACGCCACAGAGATCAACCTGGCACACTATAAGCCAGCATACTACAAGGAAACCAAGCTCGCACAGTATAAGAAATTCGCTGGACAACCGTGACTGCAAAGAAATCTTGTGATTGGTAAGCACAGTGACACATTTCTTTCTACAAAACGAGGATTTTTCATTTTCCCCCTCCAGTACGCTATCATGAATGCGCCAGGAAATAACTGATAGATTCAAAGAACCACAGACATATACTTTCCAATGAAGTATAACACGATTACTGGAATTTTGTATTAAAACCTGTATTTTGACATTTTAAATACTCAGAATCGCCCCGTATTTTAACACATGGTCACTGAACAGAGGTTAGTAGTAGTACCATCCAAATGATGTTTTCTCAAGTTATGAAAATATAAATATGCCAGTAAAAATTCTTAACATATCTACAAAGAGAAATGCACATGCTTTTCACTGATATGTAACTACATGATATCTGGAATTTCGTATTAAGACCCATATTCTGATATTGCATACCCCAGCACCCTTTTAGTTTAGTAATCATAGTACCATCCAAATTTGATCGTTTGTAAAGGTTAAGTCTTTTAGTCGCCAGGTTGATTTCTTCTTGTCATGCGGTGAATATGAAGCAGCAAACATGTGCTTATTAAAGCTTTAAATGTGGCCATATAAAAATATTTACTGTTTTATTTTTAAGACTGTTGTTGTTATGTAATTGGGTATATGCGTGTAATAAAACACGTCGGCAAGAATGATGAACGGGCTGCTGGCTTATATGAAAAAGATTATTATTACTATATTTGTCTAAGGCACATAAAGATAGCGAAGGGTGCAATCAAAAGAAATCAACATAAACTGTAAATAACCATAACATTAGTTAGAATGTTTAAATTTAAAATTCTGCTTGTATCAAAATGGTTTTATTTACTGAAAGTTCTTTTGTGCGTGATCTTAATTCTAATATTTATTCTGGCATGTTGGGTTTTAAGCAAACCATTAGTCATATCACACAATAAGTAAATTACAGTAACACGTCGTATCTATAAGCCCCAATCACAATGTCTTTCTCAGAATTGCTTGATTAGCTGATAGGTCGTTATTGTGTCATCTAAATTCAGGAGAGATAAAGACAAATAATCTTTCTCCACTTTAATTATAGTGTGATGAAATGGAACCTATTCATATGCAAACCCTGTCAAGTATTATTGGAATTTTCCTAAGAAATCGGTAAATCACCTAATAAATAAAATTCTGTTATTACCGGTTAACTCTAAACTTATCACAAAGAATAAGGCTTGATATTTTGTGGAAATGAGAATTCAGTGATATATAATTTTACATTGGCTTTCATACCTAATAACAGGGAAATACATGTGTTATTTGCAGCTGAAAAATTCAGAATTTCAATTAGGTTCTTCCTTTAAAGCGCGATTGGCTTTATTATTTGGAACCTTAATCCTCTGGCAGTAATAATCGGAAATCTTGAAAAGCAATAGGCTTCTTAATTGCATGACCGTAAACACTGTGTATAAATTCACAGTCAATTGGATATTAACTTTAGCCTCTTGAGCATCTACAAGACTTTTCAAAGTAATCAAGGGACATAACTGGCAGTAATTACCGGAAATCATTCAAAATCAATAAATTTTGTCTCATAGCTTTAACCACTGTGTATAAATTTAAAGTGAATTGGATATTAACTTTAGCCTCTTGTGGACGCTGGACCGGCGATAGTTTACGTCCACATTTCAATGTGGGCATACAAAACTGGGTCTAAACGCAAATATTAATGTATAGAGAGTGAATTATATTCAATTTTGAAAAAAATTATTGTAATTTATCATGCATTATGTTCAGTGAAATACATGAACAGTATAAATTTAACGACAGCTGTTTAGTCCTGCTTAGTCCATTCTACATATTTTTAAATTATTAAACTGTCGTTTGTGAATTAGCATTACTTCTGCAATGTCTTGTAGGCTATGTTTTTCTTTGTTCATTACAAATGGGGCACCAAAACCATGGAGTACATTACTTGTGTACTGATTATAAAGTGTTCATTGTGTCATAAATATTGGATATTAGGATCTCATATTTCACAGCAAGATAACATCAATATTGATTGAAATGGACCAACATTTAATTCTAACTCGTGTTTTAATATCGAAAATATAATCATAAAATATGATGGGTGTAGCTCCTTTAACCATTGTACCACGTTCACAAACTTAAAGTGTTAAAACGGGACTAGAAAGACAACTCTACTTCACTAACACTATTTATGGAATAACAATTACTGGTTTATTAAAATGCAACATTTTGATGATGATACTCTCATCTTGCTTGATAAACGTTGCATGTTAATAACCCAGTAATTGTTATTCCATAAATAGTGTTAGTGTGTTACTGTTCAATTAATAAATGCCACTTAAAGAATATCTACTCCACTAAATGTATACAAAATTTACAATCTTAAAGAGTGATGTATCTCAATAATGCCTTTATCAACAAATTTTCAACAAAAACAGATTGTCATAATGGTACCACAAAAAAAAACCAACACATAAAATCAAATTAAAATGACAATTCTATTTTTTGTCCCAAATTAAACTGGTCTACCATTGTAATATAACACAGTAAAAATAAATCATACAGGATAGAACCATAATTCCAATATGAAAAGCCCCAATAATCTTTTCAAAATCATAATTTCAACAAACTTTAATTAGAAAATAAGAACAAAGATATATCTAAAATGAACTAAAAAAGAAAAGAATAGACAGATGTATACAACATAATAGAATTACTGTAAGATAAACACATATATACATGTAGTTTCACCAAATAAACATGAGATACGGTAGGGCAGAGGGAATTAAGAGAAATAGATGAACTTTTAACACCACTCTATTTGAATATACTTACAATTTTTCTCACTGTGGACTATTATTAATATTAAATAAGGAATGTTTACATGTTGACAAGAAAAGGTTTATAAGACAAACAAACTTATCCTATTAATAAATCTTTAAAAAAAAAACCACTGCGTACATGTATATTCAAGCCATAATAATTTGTCGTCATTAATTAACCATTATTAATGATAATAATTATTACATAATTTGAGCTCTCTAACATGCAACTCTCACAAAATACCATTGCATGTTTATGCCTCAATAATGTAGCGTAATGTAATCAAACTCCATTTTGGTAGCAAGTCATTTATGAAATTGTATTTTTCAAATGCTACATCTGAGAAATATATGGGTTTCAAGGATATATATAGTAAGCTGAAAACATGCGAATAAATGTCTTAAATAATAGTTCATATAACATATGAAGCCAAAATAAAGAAATGCAATAAGCAGTTTTAGTTCTTTCATAATGCTTCTTTAATCAATGAAATTTGTGCTATTTGTAGAATTTATGGCTATCTGTTTATTTTCAATTTCCAGTACATGTATGTAGATTAACTTTGAAGTGTGTAGTTATTGTGCTAACTACACTGTAACTTAATTTCAAGGGGCTTTATTTATTAGTCAAAATTGAAAACTTAAGTTTGAATCACATTGACGTATCAATAATTACTCCAATTGAAAATGTACGGTTTTAGATGGGAGGGGGGGGGGAGGATATTATTCCTACATCTTATTCATAAATTTAATAACAAACGCAGATAAATTTAAGTACATAGAAAAAAGCCCTGAGAAAGCTTTTATTTTAATCCGCCAAATACATCTTGCTTTCATTGTATTGTTGCTATAATTTGTAAGTCTTTTTTCTTTGACCTAGTTTATAAAGTACACTAAAATACTTAAGTTACATCCGCTTTCATAAATCACAATGTAAGTTAATATATGCATGATCTTAAGAATAATTTTGTTAAGCTACATGAAATAAAGGAAGCTGGCTATAAATTTTCATTAAGTAATATAATTTGATAGTTAGAATGCCCAATTATAATTAAATTCTCCTTTGACAAATATGTTGGAAAGAGGCGTTAGGTTACATCTAATTAGTCATTTATTGCCTTCAGGGTATTGATATGACCTAGACTTAAAATAACTTAAGATATCATAATGAACACAAATCAGCTGGACATAGAAAGCGGTGGATATATAGATACATGTGTATATATGAAACATTTATCAAAGCCTTAGTTATATAATTTTTAACATTTAAAAGAATCATAATCTTACCCTTTTCTGTCTCTTTTTATGTAATTCTGCTTTTTTATGCTGGAAATCTTTTTCCATTTCTGCTACCCATAATTCAAAGAAATATCCTGGATCTGTGTAGAACTTCATACTGTCTTTACCGTCTTCTCTGTAAAATATAAGTAAAATAGTTGGAAAATTGGTACTATAAATCAAGGAATGAGTTAAGACCTACAGTACAAAGAATGGAATAAAATTCCTACTTGTTGGTGGTTATGGCTGCCTGTCTGGTTGTTTGAATCAGGGGTCAAATTGAATGTTGATTTAATTATTCTAAGTCATTATTAGATCATCTGATTAAAAGAACATTTGATATATTTTCAGTCTTCTAGAAGTCGTGATTTTTTTCAATTTCCTACATTTAATTTATTTTCCAATATTAGTTGTTCAATGAATCTTGAAATTGATATTCTTAGAATATTTCATAGGAAACAAAAAACATATTTCAATAGTTTTAACTGACTTAATAATTAAGCAGTTCAAAATAAAAAGCTTGATAAATTATTTGATTGTTTTGAACGGTATAAAAAAACTATGATTCTGTTTACATATACAGTTGTTGAGGCATGACCCCTCAAGAATCCCACTACTAATGCAATTCAAAGAAACTCAGATATTAATTATCTGGACTCTACTTCTCCACACCACACTGCTAACAAATGTCAGAAGAATTTATTAAAGAGAACGATAGAAAATACTAAAACTTTACTGAAGTTAAATCGAAACTGAATTATCTGTTTGGATACATAGACGGTCAAAAGCAAGAATATAAAAGCTTTTGTAGTCAGGGTCTGATGGTTTAAAATGGTTGAACATCACACATAAAACTAACCTGAATTCATTAAGTTTATCAAGTGCTGGAGGTTGGGTACATTTAGTATAACTCTCTAATATAGATCGGGGTACAGTATTGCGTGATATTACTTGTTGTTCTTTAGATATAGAACTCTTAAATGGTTTCCGTAAATGTATGTCTTGTAAAGAAACTGAAAATAGAAAAAAAAGGTCATTTTCTGGGTGTAAAGTAATACTTAGCAGGAGTAATAGAAGTACATGTAATCTAATTATTATATTAGTTATGCATCATTGATTACAGTCCACTCCATCTATTCCTCTTAACACCTCTAGTTAACTCAAATATAACTTCATTCACTATTTCTGGAACTCTCAAACAAAATATGTAATATTCAGGGCCCTGTTTCTCGAAATCTTAACTAATGTTAAAATCCAAATTTTAGTAGATACTTAAATTTGGATTGGCTAAGCACTAAATTCCGTCTAATATTATCCAATCAAATTACTAAAATTTGGATTTTATCTTAGTTAAAATTCTGTGAAACAGGCCCCTGGTTTGTTACATTACAATCAAATCATTTTTAGCCAGTCATAGATTCTATATATTATCTGATATAGATACATATAGATCTATATAGCAATATTCCAACCTCTAGAAAATTTCATTTGTGAAGAGAGAATTTATTGATTCTTCAATTCCATAGTAGAAGAGTTTCCCTTTTGAGATGAAAGTGTTCCCAAGAAAGCTCAACTGTCAACAATAATCAAATGTAGCACATATTACCTTCTTCCACAGTGGCATTCAATTGGGTGACTTTGTCTCGTAGATTATCTATACGGTGCTGTAAATGACTGGATCGAGTAAACACATTAGTTGCCTCCTGGGTAAGCTCCATAAACATATCCTCTGCATACTTACTCAGTCCGCTCAACTGTCGGATAATATTGGATAAAGTATTATTAGTTACACATTCTAGTTCATTCTGTATGCTGGGATCGACTTCAATCCTACTTACAGCCACCGGCTGAATTGTTCTTGTAAATAATGGCATTATGGTCGGGTCCTACATCAAGACTGAAAATACACAAAACCATAAATGTTTACACTACATAATTTTATACTCTACATCCTACATGTAGCATTCATGTTCCATTATTTTCTATTCTCAGACTTAAACATGCATTACGCAAGAGCTAAATCTGCCTATTGCAGGTCTTTCTTTAGGCCTGAAATGTTTTCTAAAGTATTAATTAGACATTAATTAACTGATCCAGGCCTTTATCAACTCTCTATGGCATCAGATTTCTCTGATATTAAATAGATTAGAATGGTTCAGCGATACTTTGATTTAATCAAATATGGAGGACCGAGATTTAGCTTCGATCAACCAGTATGGTGGTTGAAATTATTGCACACGTCTGTCAAACCTTCAAAGGCTAATATCTTCGCTTGCAACAGAGTAATTTGAATGAAATTTTCAAATTATTCATTTCACATCATATACTTTCGAACTATTATAGCAAGAATGGCTAGTTCTTTATCTAAATCTTACATAATGTATCTTTAACAGAAAACATATTATGCTTTTTTGTAAAATTCTCAGGACACTTAAAAAGAAGGCAAGACTTTAACCCAATATCACCCACAGTCTTCGACACTGCAAACACGACTTATTGGTCAATTTAAATCAATCATTGAATCGTTGATGCTGTTATCTTAGCGTGAAAAAATGGGCTTCTTATATCCAATATTTAAGACAAAATGAAGATTTTCAAATTGGCACACGAATCGCGTGTCGGAATGCTTTCAAGTGCCATTTGTAATGAAGTGTCTTGATGAACAAGGCTAAACATATCCCAGAGGAGAATACTACCGGTGTAGACTGGAATAACCAGACACCAAAAATTGCCATTCAATTTAGACCCTTCACATATTTCTCCGAACATAACTGATTAGAAATTACAGAAACGATTGAATGTAAATCAGTTTATATACATTCATATTACATTATTATATGCATTGCCACCCATCTGTGTGACGTGTCCATTTCTAGGTGCCAAGGAATAGAGATTTAGCTCCTTTAAAAGAAATCATTTATTATGTTTTTTTGTAAAATTAATCTAAGTAAGTAATCCAGTCAGACAAATTAAAGTTTGTATGCCAATCTATATTGTTGCATGTACATTGTATACCGTTGATACAACAGATATCTGGTATGTTTCAATCTCTAACATTAATACATTAAATCTATTTTTTCCTACTTAGATTCAACCATATGTTTCTAGTTACAATGTTCATTTTACATAGTACATGTAGCTTGTAGGCTATTATTATTCAGCCATGTCTGTGTTTTACAGAGCAGGGCAGGGGAAGCTAATTTGTTTCAATCATACTAAAATGTTTCCAAGCGGAGACATGACAAAAATATGATGTGTTATTTCAATTAGAGATGGGAAAAATCTTATTTTTTGTTCATATTACTGGCTTAAACAATATACATGTACTTTATATCCATTCTACTACTCTATGTACCACCAAGAAATTAAATATTGAAATGTTTAAAGACAGACACAGGTGAGGGCATACATAACATGTAGGCCTATGAGCCCCATAAATTGTGGGAAGTGGAATGCCAGAAAAATCCCTGTGGCAAAGTTGGTCATCAGCAAGCATCCCCCCCCACCCACAGTCTACAAATATAATGTCATAACATTGGCTAGTTCACATATTCTATCACATACTGCACGCAGCGATCCTTCTTTGTCATACTTCGAGATCAGACGGAGCTAGCTGTAGACAGGCAGCCTAAGTTTGGGATGATTCTATCATTGAAAGAAAATAAAGAATAAAATCCACAAATTTATTTTTTAAATTTCAAATGATTGAGTATTTCAAGTTATGTGTAAGTTAAGACTTAATATTACATGTTGTTATAATTAGAGTACTGGTACATGTACATGATTATATGATTTGGATAAAATTAATTTCAAATTAATGTTGATATTTTAAACTACACTTTAACTCCATTTCAATAACTCTGTTCTCTAAGATTCTTAGTAGAACTATATCTTAAAACTGAAGTTAGTTTCATATGAACATTTGTTTTACACATTAAAGTCAGCTGCAGGAAATTGTTTATATCCTAATGACTCGAAATGGAAGGAAATATAATTAGGTATTTGACGTAATAATTGATAAAACTTATTTCAGTACACGCTAGGAAAACTAAAGACATGTATTCGGCAACTCTTTCCATCGACATTATTATGTTACCGTAATTGGAATATTCTGTTACCAACAAAGCAAACAGATATTTAGAAATTAAGAGTTTATCACATGTTATTGGAGATACAATAAAATGACTACATGTAATCGTTAACATCATCACATGGTCAAGCGATTCACCTCCCAAACTTAAAATTTTCTACTGCAGTACACACACAAAAAAAGCTGAACTAAGCTGCTAAGCCACTACATGTACTTCAAGAAATTTTGAAATTTTTTATTCCCCTGAAGGTCCATATTATACATATACATGTAGATACTAGTGTTGCCAAACCATCTTTAAATTATACATCAATGACAATAATAATTTCAATTCTGATTCTATTTCTAATCAATGTTAATAGAATTTTGTAGAAGTATTATCCACATGTAAAATTTGTTTAAAGAGTTCAACTAGTTCCCTTCAATCTTTCATTTGTCAGTCTGAATATACATGTAAGTGAATGGTCACTGTAGAATTGCTACATATAAAATGGCATACTACTATAGTATTACATACATGTATCCATTAATATTACAATCATACAGCTGATACCTAAATTGATCCATTGTAATCTGGTGTATAATATGCTGAAGTATTACCAAGAACAGTAACTAAACTCAACCAGTACAAAAATGTATCCCAACAGATGATATTGAATGTGTTGTCAATGGCCTAGCTTACAGAATTACAATGTATATACATGAATGTCAAGCTGACTATTGAACTATTTAAAGTAGCCTTCAAGCTCTCTGGTGACTTTTATCATAATATAATTGGATTATCAGATACAGTATGTGTATTAAACAGGACAACTTCAGAATAAACTGCAAATATAAATCTTAAAGGACAATATTGGTGTCAAGTCATTATCACATAGAACTGGTTAAACATGTTCCAAATATAATTTTAACACAGAGATCATTGCTACCACAGATGAGTAATAAAGGTTTCAACAATCGGAAGTGACAAGAAAAATAGAAATAGTCCATACATTCCCTTGTTTTTATTCATACTATACCTTATAAAAACATGGTAATGCATGGACTTTTTCTATTTTTCTTTCGTGTTCTTTTATCTAGTGGCAGTCAATTCTATTTATGAATTGTCAGATATCCTCTCACAGTCTCACACAACAACTTTTGGTCTTCGAAGGAATTATTAGTGAGCAGAAATTCGCCCATGTATCTGTTATCACTCTTCACTTCAGTCAATTATACAAAGGGATAACTTGTGTTTTCCTTTTGCATTCGCCACTTCCGATTGTTGAAACCATTATTACGCATCTATCGTAGCAATGATCTCTGTGTTAAAATTATATTTGGAACATGTTTAACCAGTTCTATCACATATGTGATAATGACTGACACCAATATTGTCCTTTAAAACCATGTTCAAACTAAAGTACATCTTATCCCAAAACAAATAGCTTAATCAAATTTATCAATCCTAACAGAATCTATAGTCCACTGAAGTTTTCACTAGTTTCTACTCAATTTTAAAGGGGCATTATGGAGGATTCTATAAAGAGCTGGCAGTTCTCACTATAATAATAAAAAAATAGATAATGTAAAGGGAAAATGCTGAAAATTTCAAATTGCTCCACTCTGAACCGAGATATTAGCGTTTGAATTTTAGACCTAGCCACGATCATCATTACTAAAGTCGGTACGATAAAACAAAGTCTTGATTATCCATTTTTGGATTAAATCATCAATGAGCATTGAGCAGCAAATCAGATTCTAATCCTATGAAAATCTGACACATAAGATGGCATCAAGAGTTGATTAAAATCTTTTCATGTTAATAAATGTCTAATTAATAGTTTATATAACATATCAAGCCCAAAGAAATACCTGCAATAGGCAGATTTAGCTCTTGCAAAATGTATGTTTAAGTACATGTATATATGTATATCATAATCTAACAGTAAATTTTAGTTCTTATTATTACTATAATACTGTTTCTTGTTTAATGTAAATGAAATCTTTTATTGCCCTTCTGCCGAGCTATCTTTATAAGTAATTCTTCCATTCTGATATAAATAGTGACAAAAATAACAGAACAATTCGGATGTAAAATATTTCAAACATTTTAAGCCTTTCTTCACAATATTTTAATATGTGTAAATGTAGCAAAGTAGAAATTAACATTTTTTTAGTAGCACCATTGAAATTCATTTATCAAAATGTTAAAACCTTCACTTGCTTTAACAGATTCTTGTCACTATGTACATGTTGCTAATAATAGAATGAATAAACGAGATGTAGGTGAATTATTTCCATCTTTTTATTAAAGATGTATTACGCAATAGCTTAATCTGTCCATTGTAGGTCCTTTTTCTGATTTCAAATCTTATTTAAACATTTCTCAGTATGACAAGCCTATAATCATCTCTGTGGGCCATTGGATGACTCTGATTTAAAGTAGATTAGGACAATGCTGTCATTTAAAAGTTTAACAATAAAATAGGCAATCAAGAATTAGTCTTGATTGTCAAGCACGATAATAAACAATCTATGCTACATTTTGTCAAACCTTCAAACCCTCATAACTTCACACAGAATAAAGTAATTTCACTCAAATTTTCAATACATTCATTTTCATTATCTATTTTTGAACTATTATAGCAAGAATGGCCAGCTCTTTATCTAATTCTTACATAATGCACCTTTTAACATACCTTCCCACGTAGTTACAGGGTGATTTAACCATTTATATGGACTAAAAACACATTGGAACTACATGTAATCCCTCTCCAAACATATTAATCCGAAGGAAATCACACTATGCCGCGAGAATTCATATT